GCATTTGATCTAATACCTTATTACATCTTCGAGATGTCTCAAAGAGCTGATATAAAGATATAATAATAACCCTTGGATTTGATACAGCGCTTCATTACCTCCAGAAAAGTGATCTCCCAATTGACTAATCAATTTGAAACCTTATTATTACATATACACGATACTGTTCTGCGTGCACTCATATATATATACCGAGTGTAAGGCAGAGTACAGTATCCACTCTACACACAGTGAGTCATGGCATAGTGCTAGTGAGTGGGAGAATGGGGTAGTGCTACGTACACAACACACACAAACACAAGACAGTGCTCATCAATAGGTGTATTTTTTTTAACCTGGTAATGTTTATATGCTTCTCCCATTATTGTTGATCCTGTATATGCTATCACTGAATTACTGCAAGCGGCTGTCCTGTGTCCCGGTGAGCGATGGATGCTCCACAGATCTGTGCCTCCACCTGTCTCATGCCTCACTGATTCTAACTGGCAGATTGGCACAGGGTGTCCCACACATTGGGTGTTGCCATGTATGCACCCGGAGGTGTTAAATTGCCAACCTGCTCCACTGCATGTAAAGTATAACCCTAATTAAATCTAATTTAATTAGTCCAAAGCTGCCCTCAAACCTTGTCCACAGACTCTCCAGCAGCAGTAAGCACTGACTTGGCATCAGAGGCTGATTTTTTCTCTGCCGTCCCTCGTCCAGTGACCCTGAGGCCAGTTGGAGAGAGTGTGAGCAAGCAGCATGGCACAGCATGCGGTGTAACAGACCAGGTTCGCACATGAACGAAGGATGGTACTAGGTTTGTGCGCGAGGGGGTCAGTGAGAGTTCCTGCGTAAGAGGGTGAAGGAGCTCAGTGCGTGCAGACCGCAGGTGAGGCTAGCCGGCACAGACACGCTGTTGGAAAGAGCACAATCGGAGTATTAAAGGCACAGCAGGGAGACACCGAACAAAGAATGGAGCTGTAAAGGTCATTTAGAAGACCCTTTCAAAAAAATATATATTTTGGTTTCAAGCAAGAATGAATTTACGTGAGCCCTTGCCTTCGTCTTGCCGAGACCTCCTCCAGCACATTGTATATGTTAGATAGTGAGAGAGGGTGTATTCGTTGGACACAAAGGATGTATGTTAGTTAGACAGTTAAAACGGGGGGTGTTACAGTGAGAGGGGGTATGTTGGACAGTGAGAGAGAGTGCTAACGTTAGTGAGGCATTGGGGGTTGGGGGGGTGGGTGTTTGTTAGTTAGACAATGACAGGTTATTGAGTGTTAGACTGTGAGTGAGCGGATAAGTTGTGAGAATGATTGTGTTATAGTGAGCGAGTGTGTTTGACAACGAGAGTTAGTGTGTTGGACCGTGAACATGCATGTGAGACAATGTCGCTGCTCTTTCATTATCTTTACACATATGGATGTGTTCATCTAGTTAACTATCAGGTGATTATCTTATCTACGATTTATTTGATGTTCGTGACGTTAGTTTCATGAGAGCAGAACCCCGGTGAAAAACTGTAATTTATTGCTTCCATTTTTGGTATATACGGTATTTAGTTTCTCTTGTGTTGTCCCTGGGGATGCTGGGCTAATCCTTGCTCTTGTGATTATCCTGTGATTAACTCTGAATAATGCAACAGAAAATCACAGTGAGCTTCACAGAGCCTGTGATCTACTTTTTGGCTTGAAACCCAGAGAAGGAGCTCCGCTGCCTCAATGACCAAACGGTGAACAGTGTGCGATTGCATTCCTGAGGCATTGACCCGTGTCTGCAGTGCTGTGTCCAGTAGACAACGCCCCGGTGAGAAATTGTTCGATTTCAATGTCAAACACAGAGATCTTGCCTTTTCCTCCCTTGCCATGCAGTGTGTCCAGCAGCGACACTCTAATAACTCGCTCTTCCAATAAAGGAAATGAATAGCTAATTCCTTCAGGGCTTCCACTCAGGCTCTGGTCTCCCTACGTTGTATAGACATAAAACACAGTCTAAATGGCAGCTACCTGCCAGGTGTCCTGAAGGAAGACATTGAGTGGGAGGAGGGCCTGCTTTGTCCAAACCAGTCTTGTGAAAGTGTGATCTTGTGATCTGACATAATGATTATTAATGATCCAAGGATTTGATATAGCGTCTTATCATATCGCCGAAACTTCTCAAAGTGCTTCACAGGATTTACTGTAAATGTAGGCGATTGCAGGAAACAATTTACGAGCAGGAATGTCCCACAAACAGCTATGAAGTAAATGACCCAATTTTATCTGAAGAATTGTTGGCCAATGACACCAGGAAAAAAATCTTTTTTCAACTAATGCCACAGGATCTCTTAAGTACAGCTGACCAGACAGGTGGGAACTGGGTTCTCATCTGAAGGATGGCACCGCCAACAATACAACCCCTTTTCCCCCCTGTACCTATGCTGAAGTGTCAGCCTAGACTGAGTTTAAATTCCCAACATGGGGCTTGAACCCACAACCTTCTCACACAGAGCTGAGAGTCGAGCCCGGCTGACACTGTGCACCTCTCACAGTAACACTATCTTAAATGCCTCACGTCCTTCACTATAACAGTCTCCTTTCACTCTAACACTTTCTGATATACATCACACTCTTCATTGCGACACACTCTCGATACCTTCCGCATCGCTCAATACCTGCTGTAGCTCCGTGAATCATTAGAGCTTTACACTGGCTTTACAAAGGGATTATTTGGGAATATTTGGGTGTGTCTCCCAGAGCAGCGCCACATGATGTTTGGCAAGGTCGCTGGGTGGCAGTCAGTGCTGGCTGTTGACGCACGCTGGCCACTGATTAGAGGTAGTGTCAATAATCCTCTTGAACTTCATCCCACCAATAGACGCGACATCTTATTGATTGAACGCAAAGACAGCCGAGACAACCGTGCCAATGGCAATTGAGGACTGATTCCCTCTGACGACTGATTCCGAAATGAAATACGATATAAGACTTCACTCTCCTGACACATCATGCAACGGAGTTCTTAAGATGCGGTTTTCCGGCTGAGTTGGCCAGAGTTAATGAACTCCTCACTCTGCTGCGAAGCGGATGTTTTGAGCCCCAGAGCCGAAGAGGGAGAAACCACACTGATTTGGGGGTCACACGCCACCCTGTGGCCACTGACAGAGCTGCAGTGGCCACAGGACACGGATCAATCCTTTCCTTCTCTGTTCGAATAGTGGCGTACAATCTTTTTAACATTCACTGAACAGGCAGATGGGACCTTGAAAACTTTAGAAACAAATCAGGTAGATTTCTGCTGGAACGTAATATCTCGGGGTACAGTTTGGGACACGACATGTCGAACGACTGCCAGGATATCCTGTTGGAAGGTGAACTCGATGGACCTTGGTCTTCTTTCGCCCAGCAAGTTCTCGACCAAAGGACACCACTTCCAAGAATCAGCACACCCCCTATCCTTGCATTGGAGTGTCATCTGAGACCGTATGAGTTCAGAATCCCAACGTGAGAAAAGAACTATGAGAAAACCTGGATTTAATTGGCCATTTGTTCCTTCAGCTCACTCCTTCCACAGAACCGTATGCAATCTGCCCAAACGCATAATCACTGAGGGAAAGTACCCAAGTGTCTAATGTGTTGTATATTGTGTACCTGTCAGCATCTTTCCCTGGCTCTCTCTATTCTCTTCCATTTCCCTCTCTGTTCCCCTCTCTGTGTCTCTGTCCTTGCCCCTCCCTCCCTCTGTCCCACTCCCTGCTTCTGCCCCACTCCATGTCATATCCCTGTCTGGCTGAGAATAGGGTGAATCTAGAAACATTTCCTTCCTTTGATGCAGGGACAGTGCACTCTATCACTTTATTACTGGCCGTACCAACTCGGCCAAACAGGCTGTTTCTGAGCCATAATTCCTATGAATAATAACCTGCTGGTTCATCGGGAATACTTTGCTGCTCCGGACTCACAGTATTATCTGTACAGTAGTTACCACCTGCTATCTCCTCAGCACTGTAGCTGAGTACAGGCCCCAAGCCAACAATGCGTCACACAATGCAACTTTGTCCTGTTCTGTGTCTCAGGCCCTGTGATGGAGATCCCTTCTCTGAAACTAAGGACTGCATTGTACCTGGACTAAAAAGTGAGAAGTGTTTATTTTACTGCAAGCAGTGATTAAGAGCTCATGGAAATTATAGCTTAGGGCATTTGTGGATAGAGATCAAATTATATCTTTATTAGGTTTCCTCTGGTGTGATTATTGAGCTTGGAATTAAACCCTCTGGCAGATTGTATCAGTTAACTATTGGATATAAACACCGGTCAGGTTCGTTTTAGTCTGCAGTAAAGCAATGGTGTTGCCGGCTCTGATGTACTGCTGCTGGATTCGTATTCAGAATATTCCCACTTTAAAACCCAAGCCCAGTATGGAGACCTCATCTCTTATTGGCAGAGTAACCATCTGTAAGTCTAGCTGGGTGGGGAATCACCAGTTGAGCTGCATGTTAGAGCTGTGAGGAAGGGAGGGCAGTAATTGAGCTGTGAGCTGCGATGACTTATTCTGTAGGAAACACGGCGGCTCATCTAAACCAGCAATGTTCTACATATAGCAGTGAGATGAATAACTAGTGCATCTGATTTAGGACGGGAGGGAGTTTTGGCCTGGATACCAGGAGAATTGACTGCTCTTCTTCCAAACGGCAGCACGATCTTTAAGGTTCAACTTGATCACACAGATGTGCAGCTCTTCTTCAATACTGCATTGGCGTCACCTTAGTGGGTGAGTTCAAAGTGCAGACTTGGGGCTTGAACTCACAACCACTTGACTCAGAGGCGCTACTCACTGAACAAGGCTGACCAAACCTGCTCCAACCAGCCTTAAGGCAATGAAATGCAAATACATGACACTTCTGTGGGCAGATTTCCCCAAGACAGAAGCCCAATCAATGGAGAAGTAATAGAGGTATTATTGCGCATCAAAAGTCTAGCAATTCAGATTTTTCTGATCTTTATAACCGTATTTCTTACATTTTTGTTTTGCAGGGTTTTTGCTGTTTAAGGATTTTAGTCTGCATGAAATCGACGAGGCAGTTCCCCAGCTCAAGTTCTATGAGGAGGTAAGAACATGGACCTCTCTACTCTCCTGTCTCTGTTCTCAGAGTCAGTTGTCTCACAACGCCTGGTGTCATAGTGCCTCTCAAACGAGCAGAGTACAGGGTCAAAGCAGTTACGACACGTGACTCCACTCTGTAGACTGTATGTCATTGAAATTGGAGCCCACCCCCCTGTTTAACCCCCAAATACTCAGAAAAACTTCACTAATAAACTCGTAACAAGCAGTGAAGCATTTTTCTCCAAATTCCCTTCAATATTCCTCGTCTCCAACAAGCATTCCCTTTTAAATGAATTTATGGCGTTGGCTTTAACAATAGCTTAACAATGTTATGTTTGTCGAGTGGTGATTGGGTGTCCCTAGTAATTTTGAGCGCCTGCCTTCAAAAGGGCATTTCAGCCTTGGAGGTAGTTTGAGACGTGCAACAAGTATAGACAACAGTGATAAAAACCAAACCTTTCCTGCTCAGCTCCCGCCAACCTTTCCTTTTCTCTGTCACCAACTGTATATATCTCCCTGGTTGCTCACTCTAGCTAACATCTCATTTCATCTCTCTGTATCTCCCATATTTATTCCCTGTTTTCTAGATCTCCTGGATCTATTCCCTGTTTTTTATATCTACCGGCAGGTTAGGGTTCCACAAAGGCTTCAATACATTCTCATTGTCATTGTGTCTCAATTGTACATCACTTGTTTCTATGACGAAGAGCCATCATTGCATCCTTGTGACAGGACAGGCTGTCACTTCAACGTTCAGATAGACGATTCTGACAATTCAGAGTTGATTTATTCTTCTCTGTCTGGTTTCTAATGTTGGAAGGCCAATCTTGACATCTTGCTGTGCTGACCCTGTCTCAGATATTTCTGTTGGAAATATGTCACCAGACTCCTTCGTACAGAGGTTTTATTGATGAAGGGAAGTTTCTGTGGCCTATAGTATATCATGGTCGATGCAAAGGAGTGGTAGTGAAGTAGAGAATGACACGGACATGAAGTCCCACTCACTAACTTTGTATTTCACATTTTCTGCTCGTGTCCCGAAATATTAGAGTCTTTTGTTTTGCCTTTGTCTTGTGTTTATTTTGGTCCCACTAATCGGGGGAAGTAAAAATGTAAAGCTTTTGCACAAATTTGACTAGTCTATCATATTCGCGGTCCCTCACTCTGGCACTGACCCTTTGTTCCAGTGACAGACCAATTCCCTGTGCGGATTTTAGATTCAACTCTTAGGGGGATCCAAGAAACATTTAGGAGCCTGGAAATTCAGCTGCTTTTCATTCAGCGGAGATGGGGCTACCTCTGTAGCTGAGCTTGTGATGAAAAGCGCAGCTTGTCAGGAAGGAGCCTTCCTTTCTCTGTTTTCTGGTTTAGTCTTTGGCCTACGGCCCTCAAGGGGTTAACCCCAGGTCTGTGTTGATGCTGCAAAGCCCCACAACACTGATGCATGCTGCTTATGGGTGTGCCGGGAATACTCTGAATTATTTATTGCTATCAGATTCAATCAACTCCAGCACAAGTCACTGCAAGGTTCTGTTCTTCAACTTTCCTAGTGCTGGGAGATTGTTTACAGGTATTGAAATATTGCCTGTCTCTCTCCCATTCCCAGAATTTCCCAGCCAATGTGCTCTCAGCCCCAACAGCATTCCTGACTGAATTGCAAAAACACCCATTTCCTCCTAAATATCCCAGATCTATTCCCTGTTTTCTATATTTCCTGGATCTATTCTGTATTTTTCTATGTTTCCTGGATCTATTCTGTATTTTTCTATGTTTCCTGGATCTATTCCCTGTATGTTTCCCAATGGACTCACAGCATTGAAAACTCACTGTCAGATGTGTAGGATTAATTTAAGAAACAGTTAGAGGCTGCAATGGGTGGATATTCTTGGAAGAATGAGATCAAATGGGCCGAAGGGCCTTCATTCTTCATCCGAACCTGTCTTGTGATCTTGTGAATCAGTTGTGTTCTGATGTTTGCTGATTAGTGAGTGAATAGAACAGTTGACATACTCGCATGCTTGTAGCCCAGGGGTGCAGGGTCCAGCCCAGTACACGAGCAACATCTCTTGCCCTGTTTAAATCATTCTAATCTCCCGTTTTAATTTATCTGTGCACATTTGCAGATTACTAATCAGCTATTTAAACACTTTGATCTTATTTTTGCATTTCGGTCTGTCTCTCACACCTGTTTGTCTGCCTTCTCTCACACTATCGCTGTCAGTTTGTTCTCTCTCTCTCGCTTGCTACGTATATGCACGCACCACATATAGCCTGTATTGTTTCCTCTACGAATCTCCTCAAACCCTAACCTTACCAGGCTTCGCTGGTTCCCTATTTCCCAGTGAATCAATTTCAAGATTCTCATTCTAATTTTTATATGCCTCCATACCCTTGCCCTCAGTGTATATCTTCAGTCCTTCTCTTCTTCCCATCCCTTTTTTCTGTTCATTTGGACCTGTTGCATTTTCCCACCCCTTAGCAACACCATAGGTGAGTGACCCTTCAACTCTCTGGAACTCTCTCCGCAAATCCCTCTCCCTATTACCCTCCCTTTGTTTTCAAAACCAATCTCTTTGACTTTGATCACTTTTCTCCTACTCTCATCTCTCAACCATCTCTCTCTCTCTCTCTCATATTCTCCTGGCAAAAACTGGTAAGCACTTTCAGACATTTCAACGTTGCAAAATTATATCAAATTCAAACATTATTATTATTATTTCAGATAAAAGACTATGAAAAGCTGGACTCTGAGGAAGATCGCTTGTGTAGAAGTCGGCAAATCTACGATAGATATATAATGAAAGAGCTGCTATCTTGTTCACATGTGAGATTGCATTTTCATTCACATAGTACCCATAATTTAGGGGGTGTAACTTAAACCCAAATTTGGGGAATGTAAGTCTTCATTGATACCCCAAATGTAGGAAGGGAAACTTTTCATTTATGCCCAAATATGGGAGGATGTATCTGCAGTGGGTGTCGGGGTAAACTCTGCATTTGTACCTCACAGTATGTTGGGGTGGGGGGGGAAGAACTGGCTGATCTGTGGTTTAACTCCAATTACCTGCCTTTGCCCCATATCCCTTGATACCCTGACCTAACTATTATAATAATTTGGTCCCTCAATCCACGACTGTTTGTGTGACACTGCTGTGCGTAGTTGGCCACCGCGTTTCGCCCACAAAAGCATACAGTCACTACACTTCACAATATATTCAGTGAAGTGCTTTGAGACGTCTCGAAGACGTGAGTGATAAGGAGCTATATCAAATGCAAGGATTATGATTAATATTATTATTAGTTAATTGTATTCCAGTCTCAAAGCTCCCACTTCAGGGATTGACAGAGTGGTTAGAGAATGGCACTCTCACGAAGAGTATAAAAGTTAATTGTGTTTGTAATGTCTCTTCCCACAGACGCACACGCACACACATACACACACACACACACACACACACAGCAAAATGAAAATGCTTCACTGGGCTAGCTATTAACATGGTTCTCTGTTTACTTTGTTTCAGCCTTTCTCCAAGCGGGCTGTAGACCACGTACAGAGCCATTTAGCCAAGAAACAGGTTCCACCCAGCCTCTTCCAGGTAGGTGCTGAGAGCAACAGGGTGATGTCTCCCAGCAGCACTCTGTGGGAGTGAGCTGAGACATTCTGCTTACAGATTCAATCAGAACCTCTCACGCATCCCATTGTTGTAAGATTGACAATACGTAAGATGGTATCTCTTTCTCTCTCTCTTGTGTCTTTCTCTGTCTCATCTATTTCTGACTCTTTCTTCTATTGCAAACAATGAGTAAGTGGGAATCCATAATACTCATCATGCTGTGCACCAGATAAAATTGCCCCCATTTTAAGTCGATGGTAGGGAATAAAGAATTCCTCTGCTGTTTGCTGTCGTCTTGCTTTCCTGTCGCTGGTTCTCAAGATCCCTGCCCCGTTTCCCCCCCCCACCTCCTGAGGGTCTTCGTAGCTCGAGTCCCCATCAGCTGAGGGGAATGGCGGTTGTGAGCAGTAAATGCTGGTGAGAGAGGATGCCCTGTCCATTGTATAGCATCTCCAGTGAGTAAAACATTGTGTAACTGGCAAACGCATTCAGTATGAATGGGACACAGCTACAGTTTGACTTACATCTCTACATCTCTCTGTGACTTTGCCACAGTTTATAAAGTACTTCACTTGCCCCTTCTTCTTCTTCAGTTCTCCCTACAGCTCACACCATTTCCCACCAGAACGGGGAGTTTCGTCCACAAAATTTACAGTCAATTCACTTTACAGTATATTCTGTGAAGCGCTTTGAGACGTGATCAGGCACTATTATCAAATGCAAGGATTATTATTATATAGGTGGTGTTCTCCTGAATGTTTGCCACTGTTACTGTGATACAAAGAGCAGCCAAGGACAATGATTTTTCCAGTGATCTCCCATTCACCCTCTGGCTGCTCCTCAGCACCTTTCCCCACCTCAGCAGTAGTCTGACTGGGATGGAAAGCTTGACAAGTTTGGGTTTCCAATCTGTGTTGTGTGCAGAAAAGCACTGGACAAACATTGACCTTGCCGCACATACTGCACGCTTGCTTTGAAGCTGCCGTTAGTCTGAGGCAAATGGCCAGAGTCTACTTTCCAAGATTCAGTTTTATTATAGGTAGTTGTGTTTTTTTGTGTGTGAATGGATCTATCTATGGATGTGTATGTGTGGTGTATGTGCACATAAATGTGAACCTGCAGTTCATTGTGAAGCTGTGGAAGCACCTGCCATCTGGTACATATTCAGATCTACAGCCTCTTTAAGTTTTATATCTAATTCCCTTTCCTTCTCTTCAGCCATACATTGAAGAGATTTGTGACAGTCTACGAGGGAAGATATTTCAGAAGTTTATAGAAAGGTAGGTTCTGGGCCTGTGTGCGTGTATATAGAGAGATCTGTATGTGTGAATGTGTGTTCATATAGAGAAGTATTCATTTACTTCATGGCTGTTTGCGAGACATTGCTGTGCGCAATTTGGTTGCTGTGCTCACTTACAAAATGCACACTTTAGAGTAAATCCTGTGAAGCGTTTTGAGACATCCTCCCAACATGAACGGTTCTGCATCAAATAAAAGGACTATTTTATAGAGAAGCACACATTATGTATGTAGAGATGGATGTGAGCGTAGACAAGAGAAGTACTGTGTGAGCATATGGGTGTATATGGAAATGTACAAACTTGCTAATTGCCTAAAAGTACAGAATTTTCTTTTAAACTATTGGCAAACGGATGGTTATAACAACAACAACTTAAATTTATATAGCGGCCTTCGCAGTACATATTGTGATCTGTTTAGTGCTACATTTAATATTGTGCCCATTGAATGTAACTAGATGTTCTGGAGTGGGGTCCCTCTCCCCGCCCCAATGCCTTTTTCAATGTTGGGTTACAGATTTTCATTTCTGACTAGCCAGAGGCTTTGAGATTTGTGTTTACTAAAAAGCTGAGATCCCGCTAGCCAAAGGTTGCATTCCACAAGCCAATGTCATGGATCCAAGTACATTCAAATGAGAAATATTCCACAACCTGTTACATTCACTATCTGCAATGGAGGTAACAAACAGACGACAGGCACTTTCATAGGCTTCTGGACTGCAGCATAGCACAGCTCCTCACACAGCAAGCAGTGACCTGGGGCTCCATACCGGGGTCTCCCTCCGCACTCCCGCACAGTGTTTCTCCAGTCGTTATGTTCCTCAATATTACAGACACAGCAGCAGCTTCTCACTAATTGTCTTCTCTCATTTCCTTCACAGCGACAAGTTCACGCGTTTCTGCCAATGGAAGAATGTAGAACTAAACATCCACGTAAGTACTGCCCAGGAACCTTTACCTTCATTGTAGTACCTGCACCTCGGGTTGTGTCATGGGCTTCAGTGAGAGAGAACCACCGGAACAATGCATACTCTGTTATTTCACAGTGCAGTTATTTGATGTGTTGTGATCTCAGTGGCAGGCTTGGCACATCCTGTTCATGCAAAGCCTTCGCACAGTGGGGTGTTAGAATGTGGAATGCACTGTCCCCGAAGGCTTTAGAAGCAGAATCAATATAGGTGTTTATAAAGAGAGAGAAATGTATAAACCTAACAGCTCAGAAACTGATTCCTTGTGTGTTATCTTCTCTACTCCCTAACTACCGCCCCATCTCCAACCTCCCCTTCCTCTCCAAGGTCCTGGAATGAGTTGTTGCTTCGCTCCTTCCTCTCCCGCCACTCCCTTCTCGAACCCCTCCAATCGGGCTTCCGTGCCACCCACAGCACAGAAACCGCCCTGGTCAAAGTGACAAATGTCATTATGTCCATCTGAGACCAGGGCTCCCTTTGCCCCCTCGTCCTCCTTACCTCTCTGTTGCTTTCGACAACATCAACCACTCTATCCTCATCCACCGCCTCTCCTCTCACCTCATTTTGTTGTTGATCTTAACCGGGTCAACAATGGGGATGACAATTAACGTCCAGATCTCAAAATAAGGAGGGGAAAAGACGTCAGGATTTCTGCTTCTGATCACTATCCAGAGAGTCTTGTTGGAAAGTGCGAATGTGTGATGACTTGATCAGGATCATATGTGATGCCCCTGCAGGTTGAAAAGCTGCCAAAACTCGTTTCACTGTCTGTCTATCTGTCTTTAGTAAGAATTTGCTGAATTAAGAGCTGTCAAGTTTGTGTTGAGATTCTGCCCTTACTGTAGTTTACGTCTGTATTTAGCTTGTGAGATAATGAGGAGGCACTTCTGTGACTTGGAAACTTTGACTCTGTTCCAATCCTTACACAATATTATATATACGGCTTCTCTCTTACCTAACCCAGGTTCTCAATCTTGCCTCAACTGTTTCTTTCTCCTCCTACCCCCCATCCCCCACTGTGTTTCTCAGCACTCTCTCCTTGGTCCTCCTTTTCATCATCTACACGTTCCCTCTTGGTGACATTATGGGGAATGGCAGGCATTGAGTCTACTTCCATGTGTACACAGATCTTTTTGCCTCTATTCAAAAGAGGCTGCCTCGTTTCGCCCACAAAATATACAGTTAATTCACTTTAAAGTATATTCTGTGAAGCGCTTTGAGACGTGTCGAAGACGTGACGCAAGGATTATTATTATTAGTGGAGCACTATGTGTAATGAATTTTACATATAAATCCCTTTATGTTCTGGTAATCTTTGTGGCCTTTTTGTGACTGGTTTCTACACTGCTTTTACAGACAGAATAATAAGATCCTGCGCCACTGCTCTCTCCACTGTTCAGTGTTATCTCCACTGTTTATAACTCCCTCACAAACAAAAACAATTGTCTGACATGGCTTTGATGTAATAAACATCTCTGGCATTTCTTCCACGTGGAGCTTGATCGAGAGAGACTCAACTCTGCACAAAGGATTTTACGGTTGGTCCTTTTGCAAGAGTTAATCATATTGCTGAATTTCTTTAGTAGTTGTTTGGCTTTTTTCCACGATCTTTATATTTTGCAAAGTGTTAACACAAGCCTTTATTTATTGATCGGTGGAGGTTGTGAGTGACACTCTTGTAGTGCAGTCTGGGCTCAATGCAGAGGCTATTGAGCTCAGCAGAAAGAGACTCTTTGTGCCGTTGATTTTTCTGGCAGAGGCGGGAGTTATTTTAGGCACGAGTCCACTGAACATAATCTTTTATTGTGTCCGAATGCACCTCCGCGGCTGGTAGGCTTTGCCATTGCTCAGTGTGCGGCTTGTTACTACGCAGCTCTGTTTTTGTGGCTCTGCAATGCATACGCGTCTCACTGCTCGGTCACACACTGCACAATCTGCTGCTCTTAAATCTCCGGCAATCAACACAGCTCCCAAGGTCATTTGCTGCTTATAAACAAGCAAAAGCCTGAAATTAAAGGCAAAAAATATTACAGATGCTGGAAATCTGAAATAAAAACAGACGTCGCTGGAAATACTCAGCAGGTCAGGCAGCATCTATGGAGGGAGGAAAGTGAGTTAACATTTCAGGCTGATGACCTTACATCAGAACTGAGTTTGTGAGAAAGCCTGAAATTTACTCACAAACTCTCACGCTCAGCCTTAAGCTATTGACTTAAAATGTGAGATTGTGGAGAATTTAGGAAATGTTTGAGATGCAGACTTAATTGGAAACCAGTTCTTTTTGAGATCTGTGGAGCATGGGTTCTACATTAAGACTGAGTCTTTCAAAATTTTCAAATATTAAATGCTAAGAAAATGTGGGGTTTTGGGCCAATAATGTATTCCCTCCTCTTCGACTGTGCCTTCGGCCACCCCACTACCTTTCCTCCTCCCTGTCCAAATCCCTGACTGTCCAGCGCCTTGGGACGTCCCCACTGACGTGGCATCAGTCGCACAAGTATCTTAACATATAGAAATGCTACAATGAAAGGCGTATACCCTCTATCTGAAGTTAGTATATCCAGGGAATATCTTCTGTCCTAAATCGTCCATTGGAATGATGCTCATGTTCCATTGTTTCCCAGTTAACTATGAATGACTTCAGTGTACATCGAATAATCGGGAGGGGAGGATTTGGAGAAGTGTACGGATGTAGGAAAGCTGACACTGGAAAAATGTAAGTATTTCTACTTTAAATGAGAGTTCTTTAGGAATAATTATTTGTAAATCTGCATTTAATATTCAATCCACATATAAAAGAGGACATAGATTAGAGTATGTCACCTAATGCAGATTGGGCTATGTTACACACAAGATTAACACAGATTGGGGTATGTTACATGTAGAAAACCACAAGGAGTTGAGTGAGTTACCCGAGGGATCGTGCGAAATTATGCGTATGTACCCATGGCTGGGTATCCATCTTGATTGCTTCACCAATTGCTGCTGCTGAAGCTCTGCTCTTCCAACTCGTGAAACCATAGCTCAGTGGTCTCACACATTTTAAGCTGAGCTGTGCTGCTACCAAGTGGCTTACAAGGAGTTACGGGTGCCTGCTATCAACTTAGTAAATTCTCAAACCTATGCTTGTTGGATATCTAATGACAAATGACTATCCTCTTGGGACTGCAAGCCAAAGCCCTCACAGATAAGGTGGTCCTTGTAGGATAAGCAATGGGAAGCTTGCCAAAGAGCACTCGTATTGGCAAACTGTGCAGTTTTAACTGGTTGAATTCCAGCACCCAACACACACTCTAGACTCCCCAGGCCTTGGTAACCTCTGGCTGATATTTTGCGTAATCAGGTAAACAGGATGTGTCCCTCTGGGGAGAGAGTGGGCATTCCATTCCAGACAAATTATAAATTTCCATTGCCTAGCTGGCATGCATATGTAGAACTCTCAGTCAGAATCGGATACTCCAAGGATTTTCGCATGCGTCAGACACCCAGCAGAACAAATAAAATCGATGTGTGTTTTTCCCTAGTGATTTGTACCTTGGGGAGGAAAAGTACTGAGTAATTATTTACTTGTATTTACTATTTTCAGGTATGCCATGAAGTGCTTAGATAAAAAGCGAATCAAGATGAAACAGGGAGAAACGTTAGCCCTTAATGAACGGATCATGTTATCACTCGTCAGCACTGGGGTGAGACTTTAGAATTTCTTGGCATATTGCTGGTGGGTGGCAGGTGTAGTGCCCAGAATGTCAGTTCAACAACACAGAAAGTTACATTTTTAGAAGCGCCCTTCACTTGGAAAATGTCTCGGGAGTGTTTCACAAGAGGTCGTACGAGGGAGGAGTGGGGAAGGTGACAGTACATGCCATTCAAAGATGTAGATTTCTACGCGGGATTTGAAGACAGATTGAGAGGGTTGACGTGCAGCGGTAGCAGGTCCCGGAGGTCAGGGGCCTAGTTGTTGAAGCCTTTGCCACTAACAGTAGCCAGGAGTGGGTGGTGGAAGCACTGCAGGGCCATGTTTGCCGTGCGGAGGAGATGAGTAGAAGAGTGGGTTTGGGGGAGATCACAGAATTAAGGTGTTACCTGTGAAGGGATGATTAGGTGAGGATCTTGAAGTCAGTCCACTGGGAGACGGAATCAGCAGAGCTCACAAACAGACGTGAAGTGAATGAACAATTTTGTTTGGAGGATTGTTGACTATGATACCTGGAGACACACTCTTTTCAAATAATGCCATGGGATCCTTAATGCCCACCTGAACAGGCAAATGCTTCTCCCATGCTCTCACCAAGAAAAAGGAACTTTCATTCTTCCATTGCCCCATCACGTCAAAAAGTCTCAAAGCACTTCAACTGTCATGGCTATTTTGATAGAGAAATGTGGGCATCCGTTTTGCAAACATCAAGGTCCCACCCACCGCGATGGTAAATGACTGATTAACCTGGAAGATTGCGGGTCAGGCAGACAGACACGCGTGCACATGAGGGTGAAGAGAGAATCCGAAGTGACAGGCCAAGGTTAGCAAGAGCGTGTGGCAGCACCTCGGAACAGACTCTGAGACCTGAGAGGGAGAAAAACAGACAAATGGTAGCCGGCAGGGCAGACAGACTCACAGACACTGGGAAGAGAAAATAAACAGAGAGAACAGGGAAGTAATTACAGAATGAGGAACAGTCCTGTCGCAATCAGCTCGAAGTGATTAATATCTATAAGGAAACAGCTTGTGATATGAGCCCTCAACTGCTCTGGGAATGGAGTTTCATTTGGTACAATGAATAGCTACCCTCACACCAGGAGAAGGGGATTCATTGTTTAGCAAAAGGAGAAGATAGTTTGGGCTGCGGAGCTGGGGTAAAAACACTCTTTAGGTGAGTTGTGTAGCTCACAAACCATGGCTATCACGTGACAAGTTTGATTTCAAGAACAACAACAACTTGCATTTATATAGTGCCACTCAAGCAGGATCGACTCCCAGAGCGGTCCCAAATCGTGAAGAGGATAAACTGGGTTTATGCCTAACAACAATTGAAAACATCTGGAATAATTTAGCCAGTGATACGCTGAAGTGGAAGATAGATAGATGAAGGTAGACGGATGTAAGGTAGATTGGAACCAGAAACAGTACCTATCCACACAATGACTAGGTACCCCATTAGAGGAAGCAAAAGGATGCGTGTGTGATTATTGATCAGTCACTGGAGGTTGCTAGACAATATGAAACTGCTCTCAACAAAATGAATCAACAATAATAATAATCCTTGCATTTGATACAGAGCTTTTCACGTCTTCTCGACGTCTCAAAGCGCTTTATAGAACATGCTGTAAAGTGAATTGACTGTGTATTTATGGGCGAAACGCGGCAGCCAATTGCGCACAGCAGTGTCCTACAAACAGTCGTGGATTGAAAATGACCAATTTATTATTGTTTTGTTTTGGAGGGATTATTATTATAAGATTGTATCGCAAGACAGTCGAAACAGAATTACTCTGACCTTATATCAACGATGAGGCTACATCTAGAATATTGGGTGCAGTTTTTGGGCAGAGTTTAAGGATATGGAGGTGTGAGCAGACAAATACTCCACACAAGTTAACATTAAGCTTGGTTTTGATAAGAATAAATAGGGAATACTTATTTCAATAGCTGGTGAGTCAACAGCCAAAGTAGCCATAGGAGAGATGAGGAGAATTTGGGTTGATGTGAAATGTCTTGCCGGTAATGGTGGTCCATTTTAGCTTTCAAGAGGGAATTAGATATTTATAAAGGAACAATTTGCAGGGATATGGTATGGGGAAAAAGGAAGTAAATGGGACCAAATGGATAGGTTTTTCAAAGAACCATTACAAGTACATTAGGCCCAATGGGCTGTTGTGCTGTAAAGTTCTATAGTTCTGAATATTCTGCAGGTTTTTCCACATTAATGTTGGGTATCAGAGTCTCTGGGCAGTCCACGGGTTAATGATGTTTTCCCCTTTCAGGGAACCCATGCCCTTAACTCAGCTCAAACTTGTAAACTAAAAGGGAATTGAAAGTGCAAACTCATTTGTGTTATGTTCAGCACTCTGGGATTTCCTGTGCCGTTTATTTATTTCCAGCGTTCCCAACACAAGTGAAATTGTGCAACTGACTGCCATAAAATGGTTTGTTTATGGGTGTGTCTGTGATGCTGCCAGATCTCTGGTTTATTAGCTGCACTGTGCTAATGGCAGCGAGCTCCCAAAACAGCTTTTAAGAATGTGGATCCAATTAGTTTACCTGCTGTGTTGGAGCGACAGTGAATGAGCACTATACTCTTTCACATTTATTTATCTGTGTTTGTAACTCGATAGTAGTGGTAATGACAGACTGCGGTGCAACTGCCTAAGCCAGCGAAGGTTTGATTTAATTACTGTGCGTTGCTATTTGTCTCTTATTACTTATTGTCTTCATTTGTTAAAAATATTTTTATTTTTCTCATTGTCCTTCAGGCTCGCTCAATTGCACAGCTTGGGGAGGGTAGTGGGGAGAAAGAAAAGAAATGTGTATATAGAGGGAATTGATGCATTGGCTCAGGCTGGTTTCTTCATTTCGGCACCTCTGGAGGAAATTAAAAGCCAATTAAAGTCTTGTTCTAGCTTTCAATTTGGTGTCGTCTCCATCCTTTGGCCCTGGAGGTTGAAGAGAGATGTCTGTTTAATTGCTGCACAGTGTAAAAATGTGGTAATGTTGTGCTCAGCTGTTGTCTCTTTCTCTTCCATTCCAGGACTGCCCTTTTATTGTCTGTATGACCTACGCCTTCCACACGCCTGACAAGCTCTGCTTCATTCTCGACCTGATGAATGGTAAGACAAGGACTTGCAATACAGTACAATTTACATCTTGGGCCATGGATGGGAGGGAGTCAATGACCGTTGGTTGCTGTGTAGCTTTGGGACTCTGATTAATAATAATTCTTGCTTTTGATATTCTCAAGTCATTGAGATGCACCAGAGTGAGACTGGTGTGTCTCAACAACACGAGAATATCAAATACAGGGATTATTATTATTTGCCAACTCCTTAGTATTGCACCAATCAGTGATTCAGTTAACTGGTGACTAAGGAATCATTTAACAGGGTGCAGATTTGTCAACAAGCCTGAGTGACGGGCATTACCCTGATGGGCTGCGCCTTGGTAACCACCTGCTTGTTCTGTTTCCAGGTGGTGATCTGCACTACCACCTGTCACAGCACGGTGTCTTCTCCGAGAAAGAGATGAGGTTTTACGCTGCTGAGATTATCCTGGGTCTGGAGCACATGCATAACCGATTCGTAGTGTACAGGGACCTGAAGGTAAGCGTACCCAATAGTAGCTTACAGAGACCTGAAGCTATACATACACCGGTAGTGGACCGTGAGCTGGAAGTAAGTTGGTGTACAGGGAAGGAAGCTAAACTTCCAGAATCTCAGTGGTGTGCAGGTGGAGGGGGCTGGAGCGGTGGGTGGGGGCTCTGTGTGTGTGTGTGTGTATGGTGTGCAGGCCAGTGGAGTGATTTGCGGATGGTCAGAGGGTTTTTATTGATCAGCCAGGTGCCTGACACACAGGAAAAACCATCACCACTGTTAAGAGTATCCATAACAGACTGAGTGTTCCACGTAGGTATACCACCTACACACAGAAGTTTCCATGTGTCTGCTTACCTAATTCTGGAGAGTATTAGGCCCAAGTCCTGTAGAGTCCTGTAGCTCAGTGGCTAGAGCACTCGCCTTGCAAGCGAGACACCTGGGCTCAATTCCAGGCAGGTGAGGGTGAAACCTTGGGCAAGTTTCCTTACTCCACACCTAATAATAATCCTTCCAAAACAAAACAATAATAAATTGGCCATTTTCAATCCACGACTGTTTGTGGGACACTGCTGTGCGCAATTGGCTGCCGTGGTTCGCCCACAGATATACAGTCAATTCACTTTACAGTCTATTCTGTGAAGTGCTTTGAGATGTCTAAAAGACGTGAAATGAACTAAATCAAATGCAAGGATTATTAGTATTATAAGACGGTGAGTGCCAACATACCCAGAGTGTATGTTGTGCGGCTGGAGTTTAATCAGCTAACACAGCATAATTTTCCATTGTGAGTACTGTCTGGCTAGCTTCCCTTTGCTTCTCCAGCTTGGACCACTCTAATTTAGTGGTTTTGTGTGTGAGTAGCTGGGACTGGTGTGTGGGGGTGGGGACTGATTGCGGGCGACAGAGAGAAGGGGTGGTGTGTTGTGTAGTTTTAACCTTATGGGTCAGAGGAAACTACGCTTTGTGTTTTATAGCCAGCAAACATTCTCTTGGATGAACACGGACACGTGAGGATATCGGACCTTGGACTTGCCTGTGACTTTTCAAAAAAGAAGCCACACGCCAGTGTGTACGTACTTGCTGTCTTATCCCTCTATGTACCCGCCTCTGTCCCCCTGTGTGTACCTCGCTGTATATTTTATGTTCCTGCCATTCAGCTGCAGGGTGAATGAATGTGATGTTAGATCTAAAGTACATGATTTAAAAAAAATTGGAACTGACCTGGACATTCAGCTGGTTAGGGTTTGCGTGAGGGATTGGGGAGGAGGGAGAGGACACTTGGCAAATCAGCCGCTGAGCGGAGTTCTAGATGATCGGCCTGCAACATTCATGTACCTGCAGGATTCACGACTTACGAATCAATTGGTGGCCGTTCACCTTTATTATTTTTATGAACCAATTTGTTAATATTAGCCTGTTTATGGCCCTCATTGCTTGTATTGCTTGGTGCAGTGGGACCCATGGATACATGGCCCCCGAGGTATTGCAGAAAGGAACGGCGTACGACAGCAGTGCAGACTGGTTCTCTCTGGGCTGCATGCTCTTCAAACTACTCCGAGGGTAAGTTATTGATTAATCAGCAACTGCACAAGAGATGGGGTGGAGAGGGCCCAGACAAAATATTCAATATGCTGAAGGAATCAAATAACAGACAGAAAAGGTAAAAGTCAGGAGGTTAAGAGGCAAGTGGTCACCGATGTGTGGAATAAGGGAAGGAGAGTGGAGCAGATACAGTGCAAATAATATTAATAGTAATCCTTGTATTTGATATAACGTCTTATCACATTGTTGAGATGTCTCAAAGCTCTTCACAGAATATACTGTAAAGTGAGCTGACTCTGTGTTTTGAGGGTGAAATGTGTTCAAGAGAGATGTGTTTCTGGATAGGGGAATTGAGGGATAAGGTGAGATGGCACAGAGCTGGGGTTGAGAGATGAGACTGACGGATTGGGTGAGAGGGTGGAAAGCTTTTTCTCCACCTCAGCCTCCTCAACCACCCCCACAGACTAGTGCTTGGGGTGCTGCTGCAGAGGCTGAGCCGGTTCCTCACATTTGAGAGGAAGCATGGCTTGATTGGACCCAGTGCAGCAGTAACACTGGCACCATTTGATGTTTGTCCATAAAGGGCCTGTGGAGAGTGATCCAATAAAGAGCTAGAGACACAGCAGCGACCTCCTGCGGGAATCACCCATTGATTGTTGTGAGTGGGGCCTTGAAGTGCTCAGAGAGTAAAAGTCAGAGAAGCTGGCGAGATCAAAGAGAAAGGAGAAAAGGAACGAGTTTCCTCTTACCTTGGTCGATATAGCAACGGGAGAGTTTCTTATGCAATGCGTCAGTCACCAAACCTCACTAACCTTTAGGTTGGAGCCAAGGCTTCCAGGCACTCTCCTATGGAAAAACTGCAACCTTATGGCCAAGAGGAAAATGACTGCGCACAGAATAATTTTCGCTGAGAACTTCCACGTAGTAAATCTGTAACCACCAAAACATATAAACATCACAGTACAATATATGCATTCTGTAAATGCTCCAGGTACAATTCCATAACTGAAAAAAAAATTGCCGAGGCCGCAAAGCAGGAAATCTGACATGTAACTGTTTTGGACTCTTGGACGAGCTTCTTGCCAACATGTCCCCATTCGAAGAGGAAAGGGTTTTTGACGGACGTTTCTATGGCTTCCTCCCATCAGCTTAACTAAGTCCCCAGCCTTAGCCTCTTCTCTGTCTTGTGCAGAGCCTCACACTGAAGGGGGATATAAGGTCACTCATTGACTTTCCAAGTGCCAAGTGGTCATTGTTCATCTTTAGGTCTGGGCAGTGAGTGTCTGACTGTAGGAGGCATTGTAGCTGAGTCTGAAAGGATTTCTCCACACCCCTCTTGCCTGTCCACCCACTCTGAGATCAGCTTTTGGGATGAATCCTGAGACCTTTCTGCGCAGTGCGGCTATTTCAAACTGGACAGTGGTCTGTTTTCAATGTCACCGTAAGGTAACTAATATATCTCCTTCCCTGCAGACACAGTCCGTTCCGGCAGCACAAAACGAAAGATAAGCACGAGATTGACCGCATGACATTGACCATGGTAAGAAAGCCACTCTCGCAACAGAGATACCATTCAGCAATCAGAGAGTGAGGCAGAAAAAAATCAATCGTTACACTTGGATTCATGAGAAATTAATGTTTAACACCAATTTAATATTCAATAAAATTGTGTAACTCTCAGACAGCACAGAGCCAAAGGTCAGCATTCAGTGCCTGCCTGTCCTGATCATGCTAGATTGACCCTGATCTATGGGGGAGAGGGGGCGATAAGATTTCTGACTCAATGAGGATCCTCTGCTCTGCCAAACAGTGGAGGAGCCATGGTCACAGACTCCGATCAAATTCTCCAGACAATTGGCACATTAAACGTAAGGAATGTAAGAAATGCATTGCCAATCTGTGTGATACCAGTTTAGTGTGTACAAAGTAATCTGTATACACTGCTTGTTCCACCAGGGCCAAACTTATTGGCAGTAGCGCTCCTGTCGACCCATGAGAAGGCTTCACAATCTCATTGCAGGTGTGCGAGAGGTCAGGGAGGATGGATAGGCCAGAGGGAAGGGTAAAACAGGCACTTAGATCTATCTCACTGTCCATTCTTTATGACTGAAAGCGGAGGGAGGTGGGGAGAAAAAGAAAGTAAATAAGTGAGGGACAAATTAGTGTGTGGATTTGAAAAGGTTTTTTTTTAATCTTCTCCAACAGAATGTAGAATTACCGGATTCCTTCTCTCCAGAGTTGAAGTCTCTCTTAGAAGGTTTACTCCAGCGGGATGTGGGCAAGAGGCTGGGCTGCCTGGGCCGGGGGTAGGTTACCTTTGCTGTGCTGGGACATGCCCGTCATGCCCTCTCACCTCCCTACCTATCCAATTTGCTTACCCCCCCACTCCATCACCCGCTGCCTCCACTCGGCCGGCTCCGGCCTCCTGTTCGTCCCTCGCCCCCTCGACTCCACCATCGGCAGGCGTGCCTTTAGCCACTGCACCCCGAAGCTCTGGAATTCCATCCCTCAATCCCTCCGCATTGCCCCCTCTCTCCCCACATTTAAATCCCGCCCAAAGACCTTCCTTTTTGATTGTGCTTATGGTCACCTCCCCCCTCCCTCTTCCCCTGGCTCAGGGTTAGACTTCACAACTGTCAAGCGCTCTGTGACGCTACCGTGTGTGAAGGTTGGCATATAAATGCAAGTTGTTGCTGGGACGTGGAAGTCAGGGTCGGTGGGAGTTTGTGCTGGAGGCGCTCAGCGGTTCAGACGAACAACATTTGGCCCTGGTCTTAATAAAGGCCCTGAAATCCAATCAAGTGATTTTGATCTTGACGTAGCAGAGCAGAACTGCCCTGTCTAATGAACAACAGCAAAGAGTGGGCTTGAATTATTACTCCATTGTGAATTTATTGCCAGCCATTCGGTGCTGTATTTTATATCAAATGGTCAACATGGAACCATAGAAATAAATGTATGACGCAGTAGGAGGCAATTCAGCCAGATTTTTTTTTGTGTCCTTGTTTTGCTTCACTGTCAGGCTGTCCATCCTCATCCCAATTCCTGCACTATTCTCGAACCCTCTAATATCCTTCCATTGCATGTGTTTGACCAATTCTCTTTTATATGCCGCCTCAATTGATCCCTGAAACAGCCACTCCTGGCAAATCACTCTCTACCCCAGAGGTTCTCAAACTGGTTATCATCTTGTGATCTGTGCTGGACATTGGGTGAAGATTTGAGACGTCTCGAAGACGTGATAAGGCTCTTTATAGAGTGCAAGGATTATTATTATTGAGATGCCATAGCAGAGACAGAACAGAGCCACGGACACAATCTACCAGCTTGATTTGTTCAGGGTGTTCTCAGCTGCTATCTTCTCATGCTTTCCAGAAAAATGTAATGTGTCAAAGTAAAGTGCCTTCCACCTTGTCCTTGCACTGTGACATTGCACAGTCCATTTCTGCAGGAAGCAAAATAATGAGAATATTTTGCTGTGTCCCCACAGAGCAATTGAGGTGAAAGAACATCCGTTTTTCAAAGGTATTGACTGGCAGCAAGTCTACTTGCAGAAGGTAAGTGCTTTCTAATTCCAATAAAGTGCTTTAAAAAGTTATTTCTCAATATAAAGGTTAACTATTCACATAATTTCTTCTCCCATATTCTTCATTTTTTCGCTCTGCCTGAGGTGAGGAACTGTGTGGGAAGCTTCCCCCACCCCCATGGTCTGAGTAAAAGTTGCTGCACAGCCTGTGTGACCCAGGAGAGCTCTTTGTTAGTTGCCAGGCTGCTGCTGGGCAATGTAAGGATGAGGGGGATGCCTTCGACATTACAGTCCTGTGGGGATGTGAGTGCCCGGGCACCTTGGCACCCCAAGTACTTATTCATCGAATCCTACAGCACAGATGGAGGTCATTCAGTCCATCGTACCTCTGCCGGCTCTTTGAAAGAGCTATCCAATTAGTCCCCACTCCCCCGTTCTTTCCTTGGAGCCTTGCAAATTTTTTCATGTTTCAGCATTGACCTGTATGAGCAGAACTGTATTCAGACCCTTACCTCACTGGTAATATCCCCATTCCTGTCTCAGGCCTTTATTGTGCAAAGGTTTCCCTCCACAAAAACACTACTGAGAGGTTTCTGTTGTGAAATTCCAGTTAGACATCACTGTAACCACCCAATCAAACCCGCAATGAGCTGTCCTGTGTTTGTTTGCAGTATCAGCCTCCACTCATTCCTCCCCGAGGAGAGGTCAATGCCGCTGATGCATTCGACATTGGGTCATTCGATGAAGAAGACACTAAAGGCATAAAGGTATTGTCTGCGCTGTACACTCACAGTCAATGGGTCCTTCTGTCTGTGTCACACAGGCAACCCATGTCCTACAGGAGGAGGGGCCATGTCGCCCTTGGGGGCCGTGTCCTGCCAGGGGGAGAGGCCATGTCCTATCTGGGATAGAGGCCGTGTCCTTTCTTTGGGTGTGTGGGGGGGGGGGGTGGCATGTCGTACTGGGAAAGGGACTGTGTTGTGCATATAACTATGCTTATTGGTCTCCCTCTTCCCCCTCTCTCTTTGACTCTTCTCTCTCATAACTCTACTGTTGCTTACTTCCCCTTATATTATTCCTCACCTTGTTTTTTCTCTCCCCATGACATCTGTCCCATCTGTCCATCTCATCTGTCTGTCTCTCTGCTGCTTGTCCCCACCCTCCTTCTCCCCTCTTTCAGTTGCTGGACAGTGATCAGGAGCTGTACAGGAACTTCCCGCTAGTGATCTCCGAGCGGTGGCAGCAGGAGGTGGCAGAGACTGTGTACGATGCGGTGAACACTGACACAGATAAAAATGAGGCCAAGAAAAGAGCGAAGAATAAAACACTCGGTCACGAGGAAGGTAACGCCACAAATGTGTAACATGAAGATATCTAGAAGTGATAGGGGAAAAAATCTGCAGTGTCACACTCACATTTAACATTAAGCCCCATCTGCAGTGAACTGGCTCCAAACCAGCATTGACATGAGGAACCGTGTCTACCCTGTGCCCTTGGAGGTGCTATGTTCTCCCTGTGCGAGATGCTGAGGTCTTGGAGTGGTCAGTGCTAAGGCAGTTAGCTTAAGTAGAGATGTTGCCTTGACAGCTGATTGCAACAAGTCCCATTCGCATTGTCAAGTGAAGGTTCTGATTCTATCTAGTTCCCTCTTTTGTAAAAAAAATTAAACATTAAAATAAACGAAATTGTGAATAAAGCACAATCTATTTTAGTTATGTTAAAGGAAGCTGCGTGTGTGACCCAACCACTGAGTGTCAGTCCCTCGGGTAGGGGGGTGAGGGGAGTGGGGAGAGAGGAAACAGGTTTAACTCTAAATTCCAACCTAGAGGAGCAAAAATGGAGCAGATAGACCGTACTGCTGGAATGCTATCTCATGCCCCCTCGTGGTAGTGAGCAGCAAGGAAACTCGGGCACTGGCTGAATTCAACAACAACACATTACATTTGTATACACCTTTCACGTCAGGAGCACATCCCAAATTCAGGGGGAATTTGAGGTACGGGGCAGGAGTGACTCCAAAACCAAAATGAGTTCTATGTGTCGCCATTCTGAGGATCCAAATACTACAATAACAACACCAAGATTACATTTGTATAGCACCTTTCACATCGGACGTGCCAATGCGCTGAAAATACAATACAAATTGCTGTTTATACAATGCCTTTCACAACGTCAGGAGGACACCCCAAGGCGCTTAACAATCCTGCTGTAGCACCCGAGCTGGGGGTGGGAGCCCAGGGGAGACGGGGAGGGGGAAGAATAACCAAAAGCTCAGTCAAAAAGGTAGGTAGGTAGGTAGGATGGCAAGTCAAGTGAGGGAGGGAGTAATTATGGTCAAATTAATAAATAAAAGTTATAAAATGAAAAGAAAATAATCAAATAAAAGTGACAAAAATCCAGGCTGATTGTGTATTTGCTTCTTTGCAGATTATGCCTTGGGCAAAGACTGCATCATGCATGGCTACATGCTGAAGCTCGGAAGTCCATTCCTTACTCAGTGGCAGCGTCGCTATTTCTACCTCTTTCCCAATCGTCTGGAGTGGAGAGGAGAGGGAGAGTCCCGGGTAAGTGGGCAGCCGGCTTTGCGTGAGCGACAGGGATGTCACTATGTTCATCAAGAGGAGGGTAGTGATGAGTATCGAGCACATGATATCAGCCTCCGCTGTGTCTTATAGAGGACCTAAGATAATAATAATAATCCTTGCATTTGATATAGCTCTTCGCAGAATATGCTATAAAGTGAATTGACTGTATATTTTGTGGGCGAAACGCAGCAGTCAATTGCGCACAGCAGGGTCCCACAAACAGTCGTGGATTGAAATGACCACTATTATTTTTGGGGGGAAGGAAGGAAAAAAGAAGGAAGGAAGGAACCCCCAGAAAAGCGATCCGCCAATCGACTAGCAACCGGATTCCTACTTACTGCTAGTTAAACAGAGGCGTGTGGAGTAAGGAAACTTGCTCAACATTTCGCCCTGCCGGGAATTGAACCCAAGTCTCTTGATTGCGAGGCGAATGCTCTAACCATACATGACTCCACACGATGACAAATTGTGGGGTACAGTTAACCACTAAGAGTGAGATAGGGGCTTACAGTTGCCCTGGGAGGAAACAAATGCTCAAAGGAGAGTAATGCTGTGCAGACTCGCAGAGAGTGTCTTCTCACTGCAGTTCTGGTGTGTTTGTGTTTCGTATATTTACTACATATGATATAGATTGTGCTGGGTGCAGAGTAGGTACATGTGTCTGTCATTTAACCCTCTGGGTGTGTGCTCTGCTGGTGAGAAAGACTGAGTGTCAGTCACAGATGGGTGATAGATACAGTGTCAGTGGAGTGTGAGGAGGTGAAATTAGCCAATTGCCTATTGAAGCAGTTCAAGCTGAAGTTATGGACCTGGAGCAGGGGCTTAATCTGCTGTCAGCCCCTGATCCAGCCTGTTCTGTTCAGGGAGTCAGACAGCGAAGCTGAAGTCATTTTCCTCTTTCCTACCCACTTCCCTGGGGGCTTTGTCCATCTGCCACTGCTCTCATGATTGTCGGTGAGTACACAATGGCAGGACTTGGAGCAGGCTACCTATCTGCTGTGTCTGGCTGCTAAATTGTGCATCCTGATATGGGAAATCCATGTGGTAGTTTTTCGCGTAATGGAAATGATCATGTTTATTCAGGGTCACAGTGAAACGGCCAGAGAAAACGAGAAGTCAGGGAGGCAGTGTGTTTGATTGACATGAGGTCCGGGGTTTCAATGGCTGCAGAGTGAGTGAGGGTGGAGAGGAGTTTCAGAGAAACAAGGCGCTGCAGAAAAGTGTTGGAGCAAGTGTTGGAGCCGAGTTGTAACACGGGAAGGAGGTGGCATTTCAGGAGGAACAGGATGGGGGAAATTTAAAGGAGTAATGACCAGAATTAATACTAAAACGGAGAGACAAAAGGGCGTGATGAGAGAGGTTGCAAGCTGGGCGAGGGGAGGATGCCTCACAGCAGTATGAGAGGGACTCGAATCCTGAGCCTCCAAAGCAACGGAGCAATGTTCAAGTCTTAAACAACCTTTGTAGAGAGTTCAAAGATTTTCCATTTTATGGAAAATGAATTATCTCCTTTGCAGTAAAGGCACCTTATATAATTGTTTATTGGTGTTCAGCTATTAAGATCAGAGGTCTGAAATTTGTTATGCCTTTTTGGATAATTCTTCAATACTGTCTTAATTTGGAAAAGTTTTTCATGGTTCTTTGAAAGACACCAACTCCCAAATTTAAGGCTGAATTCAAGAATTTTCTCAAATTCGGTACAATCTTAAAATGTTAGATGGTGAGTAATTTCGGACCTCTGCTTTCTCTGCATGAAGAGCAGGGACACAGAGTGGGATGGGTTTTATACCTGAACCTGTTTCGCTTTTGAATGATCACAGTATCAGGCATGAGGCTGAATCTAAAGGTTTAAACCTGTTCTAGTTCTAACAGGCTTTCGTTGCATTGAATAGATTAGTGCATCAGCACTCTATACAGTGAGATCTAATCAAACAAAGGATTTGTCATGTTATTTCCACTTAGGATGCCTGGATTATTTATAAAAGACGTAGGCTGGTAAGAACAATGCTGTCAAACTATAGCATCCGCCCCACTCCCTCATGCTATAGTTGAAGTTTCTGAGTGTTCTGCTGGGATGTCACGATGCGATTTAATGAAAATTTCGCAAAACATTTCGCTATTCTTTCTCCATTCCACATTTTCTCTGTCTCTTCCCTTCTCCTTGCCTTACGTACCAGCCCCCCACCCCCCCCGTCACCGTGACCAGCCCATCCCTTCCCCGCGGCTCGCTTGTCTCTATAGCCCGCCGATGCCCTATGACTATGTAACACACTCCCCTGCCCATCTCTAAGGCCCACCCGCGCCCGTGGTCCATCCCACGCCCGTCGCCATTGCTCGCTTGTTCCCTTGGCCCGTCGATGCCCTCCGGCTACGCTGCTGATCTGTGCTATGGAATAAAACTGGATTTCAGCTTGCTCTGATTCCCTCCCGGCCCAAGGTCAGAATTGATCCTTGGGGGGTGCTCTTGTGCTGCTACATTGGACCGTGACATCCCTGATGCCGTGTTTGTTGTGTGCAATGTTGTTTTATGTGTGTAGCAAATTTAAGATGTCCGCTGTCAAAGGCAGTGTGATGCCTACTCTGCCCTGCTATGCCTAAATTGCTGTTCTGCATCCATGGGTTCCACTAATTATTATTAAAGGATCAGAACTAATTATGTAAAAATTGGTCAGGTTCCCCTTCCTGATTGCTAACCAGAGAGCAACTACAGCAAAGTATGGCCTTTGGGTGAGGACAGAATTAGACACAGTTGCAGTACCTCCTTTTTCTCCCCCCACCCACCACCACCGAGGTGGAAGGGCCTGAAGCATTGGTATTTGGCCCCCAATCGTGTCAGACAGAAGAAGGAAAAGGAAAGAGAATAGAGGGAGCAGTGTCCTCAAATAGATCAACAATTTACATTTATACAATGCCTTTCAGGTCAGCACATCTCAAAGTGCTTCTCACAACGGACTGAGAGCCCAAGCTGGGGGCCAAGGGGACAGGTGGCTGAAAACACAGTAGAAGAGTGGGGGGGGGGGGCTTAAGGTGGGTTTTGAAGATGGAGAGGGAGGGGTCAAGGCAGAGGGAATGCAGGATGAAAGTGGGGGTAGATGTTTGAAGGCTCGCCCACCAATGGGGAACAATGATTAATTGCCACCATGATGGTATTGAGCCAACAGAGTGCATTGCTGATATTCCTCACACCAGCAAGGGGCATAAGTCAGAGATAGTGAAAGGCTAACCTGCCCCTCACTTACTCAAATAGGCAAATTCTAGTGCAATTTCCGTTTATAAGTGCAAAATACACTTCGTAATAAACGTGTCGCAGTACAGGTTTGACGCATTTAGAGGCAAATTAGAACTGACTTGAGGCAAATTAGATTTTTCTTGATTTGAAATGGTCTCTAATTGGGATTGGTATGAATCCGTTGCTCTCTTTTTCTTAAAAAAAACCTTCCTGGGATGAATTTTCCTCCCTGTAATGGGAAGAAGCAGCAGCAGCTCAGAGGCAATGCAGCAAAGGTATGTGGTGTGGCTCCTACATAGTTTGGATTCTGTGGTTTGGTCTGGTCTGCTCTCTAGGCACAGCGTACCTGACGCTTGGAGCTCAGCGGTCAGTCTGAGGAGTGTACTTTGCACTCCAGCCAGTCCAACAGGACAGATTATACATTAGGGAGGTGCGTACGGTCTGGCCTGGTGAGAGCCTGATAACTGTGAAGTGTCCCACCTGGAGAGACAGGTCCCAGCCACCCCCTCAAGGCCATATGAAGAGACCAAAGGCAGAATGAAACTCAGATCCTTCTCCATGGACATTGCTTATTATTGAATATTTATACAGGGTAATAATTTGTGGAAGGTAGTTTAGCCAGCACAGTTAGCACTGAACGTCTGTTTACAGTGAGCTTCTAAGAGTCAGTCATACAACAACAACAACAACAACAACAAGATTCCATTTATAGAGCGCCTTTCACGTCAGGAGGACGTCCCAAGGCGCTGCACAGTTGGGTCATGACCCGAGCAGGGGGGAAATGGTCAGGGTGAGGGGAGGGAAGGGAGGGAGAGAGGAGGGGAAATGGTCAGGGTGAGGGGAGGGAAGGGAGGGAGCGAGGAGGAGGAAGAGAGTCGAGAGGGGAGCTGAAGGCACGGTCAAAGAGAAAGGTTTTGAGACCGGCCTTGAAGGAGGAAAGGGAGGAAGCAAGGCGAAGGCACTGGGGGATGGAGTTCCAGAGCCTCGGGGCTGAGAGGCTGAAGGCCCGACCACCGATAGTAGGGCGGTTGGGGCGGGGGACGTGGAGCAGACCGGAGCCAGAGGAACGGAGGGTACGGGCAGGTAGGTAGGGGGATAGTAGGTTGGAGAGGTAGGAGGGAGCAAGGCCGTGAATGGCCTTGTAGGTGAGGATGAGGATCTTGAAATCAATCCTCTGGGGGATGGGGAGCCAGTGGAGGCGAGCGAGGGTGGGAGTGATGTGGTCCCGAAGCCTGGTGCGGGACAGTACACGAGCTGCAGAGTTCTGAATGACCTGCAGCTTGTGGAGGGAGGTGGCGGGAAGGCCGGCGAGGAGAGAGTTCCCATAGTCCAGCCTTGAGGTGACAAAGGCGTGAACCAGGGTTTCAGCAGCGTGAGGGGTGAGGTAGTGCCGTAATCTGGCGATATTCCGGAGGTGATGGAAGGCGGTGCCAGTTGTGGTGCGGATGTGAGGGAGAAAGGACAGCTCAGGGTCGAACAAAACGCCGAGGTTCCTGACTGGCTTTGAGAGGTGGAGAGTGCAGCCTTGGATGCTGATGGTGTCAGCGCCTGAGGTGCGGAGGCGCTGACGTGAGCCAATCAGGAGGGCCTCGGTTTTTTGCACGTTGAGCTGAAGAAAGTTGTCTCTCGTCCAGGACTCGATGTCGGACAGGCAGGCTGTCAGGACATCGGTGGTCGTGGAGTTGAGAGTAGAGGAGGAAAGGTAGAGTTGGGTGTCATCCGCATACATGTGGAAGTTAACCCCATGTTTGCGGATGATGTCACCAAGGGGGAGCATATAGAGGGTGAAGAGGAGGGGACCGAGGACAGAGCCCTGAGGGACACCACATGAGACAGTACGGGGGGTGGAGGAGAAGCCATTCGTTGAGACGAAGTGAAGACGGTGAGAAAGGTACGACCTAAACCATTCAAGGACAGTGCCTTGAAAGTTGAGGTGGGAGGACAAGCGGTGGAGTAGGATAGTGTGGTCGACCGTATCGAATGCTGCCGATAGGTCGAGGAGGACGAGGAGACAGAGGGAGCCCTGGTCACAGATGGTCAGGATGTCATTGGTGACCTTGACCAGGGCAGTTTCTGTGCTATGAGCAGCACGGAAACCTGACTGAAGGGGTTCAAAAAGAGAATGGGTGGAGAGGAAAGAGCGCAGTTGGGAGGCGACAACTCTTTCCAAGACTTTGGAGAGAAAGGGGAGGTTGGAGATGGGCCGGTAGCTTGATAACCATACCATAAGGCACTGGAGACACAAGATTGACCTGGAATTGCCTGCCATCTGACTCTGTTTCCAAGATCCCATCTCAAATTGACGAGACCAGGTGCTAATGGAATATTAGCAGGAAGCAGATTGTTGGAATTTGTGCCTTGGTTTTACCTCCTATGGGAGCTGGAGATGGAAGAGGACAAGTCCCCTTCCATCTGCTTAAGGGATGAGCCATTTTCACTTGTTTATTGGATTTTTGCAGTCTGCTGGAAGATGAGCAGCCTCCTGTCATTTAATAAACTGGACAAATAATTTAGATCTGAGCTCTTCCCAATTTCTCCCCTCCTCTGCAATCTCCTCCAACTGTGCTCTCCTATCTGCATCACCTGTTCATTTTATTCTATTTTTGTTCCTCACTCCCTCCGTAATCTTTCAGGCTAGCTACCCTTTCTTCTTCCCTTCTCCCTGCTCCCCATTGTAATTGTCAAGCACTCAGATGTTCAACGTATGTGAAAACGACTGTGTAAATGCAAATTGGAATCAGAATCACAGGTTCAAGGGGTGTGAAGCACAGTTTTAGGACAAGCACTATTTCTTCAAAGTGTCTGATCAACAACTGGAAGAAGGATGGTAACTGAGGAACAAGCCTCGTTTAAGAAACAACATGATACTATAATGGGAAGACAGAAGTGGGAGTTGTGGAAGAATGGGATCTAATAGGCTGAAGGCCTTATTTCATCCAAACCTTCCTTGTGATAGGCAGGTGCCTGGGCTGCCCTGGTTACCTTGATGAGCTTTCTCTTTCTTCCCATCAGTCAGATTCTCAATCTGGTGTTTCTTGCATCTGGTGCAATGGTAGTAATATGCTTCTCAGTGTCCCATCATTGAGCACAATTGCACTCACACTGGTATTATCGGGTCAGTCTGCAGAGGGTGGCAGTAACTCCCTGTTTAGCAAACAGTCTTCCATCAAAGGTTTATTAAAAGTGAGTTAATTTCTCAGCCTTTACCTCTGTGTCAGTCCTGATACCTGTTAATGCAGTGCCTGTTCATGCCATTATCTGAGATTCTGCCTTCATTCACAAGATATATTTCAGCTCTAACCCCATTATGCCCTGGATTTGGGAATCAGTAGTTTTGGAATACATTTTGCTGCCATAACCCCAGCATCGATCAGATAGAAACATAGAAATTTACAGCTCAGAAGGAGGCCATTTGACCTTTCAAGCCTGGACAAGCTCTCAGAGCAAAACCCACTGAAAATTGTTCTTTTTGAATTGAAATAAAAGGAACATTTTTATGGTTCAACTAAATAAATTTAGTTCTGTGTTTTTGTGATCCAGCAAAGCCTGCTGACAATGGAGCAGATCGTTTCTGTGGAGGACACGCAGATTAAGGACAAGAAATGTATTCTTCTACGGATTAAGGGAGGAAAGCAGTTCGTTCTGCAGTGTGAGGTGAGTGGCATACAGATGGGACCATCAACCTGGAGATAGGTTGGTCAGTCAGGGTAATGTGTTTGGAAAATGTTAATCTTTGATATTCAGTATCACATTCAGCCCAGCACAGAGTACCTTCTTCTGACGAGTCACTTCAGTGCCTCCCATTGGCCTATTTGGCAAAGGCACATAGACAGGGCCATGCAGGTCACAGGTTAGAATCCAGATCTACACTGAGATCACTAACCTCAATCGGGGAAGGGAGCATTGGATTGCGATAAAATGCAGAACTCATAGCAATTTCTGTCTGGCCTCAGCTGGAAAATGCCCGTGTGTGGATCCTGCTGAGGAGGGGAGAGGACAGGAAGAGTTGAAAGAGGAAAGGGTAAAAGACTGGATGCCATCTTAGCTCTAGGCTCGGTGGCAATTTGGGTGAAGTAGCAGGTTAGCAGCAGCAGTAGGTACTCCCAGTATGAGTTAAATCCACCAGGAAAGATGGGGAGGGGAGAAGAAAGGAGAATGTGGTTGCAGCATTGACTTTTTTTTAAACACACTTGTATTATTCAGAGTGACCCGGAGTTCATCCAGTGGAAGAAAGAGTTGACGGAAGCCTTTAACGAGGCTCAGAGGGTCCTGCGGAGGGCTCCGAAGGTTCTGAACAAGTCGCGTTCGGCGGTGGTCGAGCTCACCAAACCCCCCCTCAGCCACAGGAACAGCAACGGCCTTTAAGCGAGATGATGTGTGAGTGGGGGAAAAGAAAGTGAAAGATCTGAGGATGTTTTGTGCAAACTACTATAATCACTCATATGTGGTCCAGCGTGTTGTTATTAGCTAAATATACAATCCCACAACCAGGGTGGGTATCTACATATATATGTGTGTGTGTCTCTATATATATCTTATATATACACACACACGTGTATAAGAGACTTTTGGAACAGTCCGCTGTGTATTTTCTATTGAAAGTATTGACAAATGAGTGCAGCGCCAGTGACTGACTGCAGCTGCAGTTCATGAGCCAACTCTGCAGGAATAGACCAGAGGATGCCAAACGCATTTGGAAACTGTTTTGCTTTGTGTCACGTGCCATCGGGCTCCTGGCGGGCGTCCTTCACTTCATATCAGAGGGGCCGGAGGATCGCAAGGAAGAACTACTTTGGGAAGCGTTGAAGTACAAGACTAGAGACAGAAGGAACCTCCTCTCCTCCAGCACCAAGACTACAACATATTGCAAACCATTGAGGCATGGTCAGTTGTCTACCCGTTGCCATGGTTTCTCTGCTCTAGAAATGCTGATTTATGAGTTGCCATGGTGCCATTAATCAATATTTTGACCTGGGTTTACCTCCCAGTCTCACATATCCTCTGCCACATATTCATGGTTACCGAATGCTGCTCTCCGTTAGTATCCAACATCCGGGCCTTGGAATTTTCAGTTGGATTGTATGATCACTTTATTCCCTTGATTACCAGATGCCAGTTTGTCACCTGGTAACCAGAGCAGTTGCATTTTATTTTTGTTATATTCTGTGAAACGCAGTGGTGCGTGCGTTGGTACTTAATTCCCCCTCCTCTTCCGACCCCCACCCCCCCCAATGGTTGATTGCAGTGTTTCTATGGTTACAAGAGAACGATTGCTGGATTGCATATTTTTTCAACATGTTAATAACCTCGATATGTTAGCTGTCGCTACATTTCCACGGCTACTGAATGCTGCTTTGTGGCTTGTTTCTGTTGCTAGGGTACTGGGGTTTGGTAGGCGACAACACGGCCACTCTTCAATGCCAACTTCCCCAGAAACATGGCTCAAGTTTCTATGGATGTCTGTTTACCTGATTACAGTATTATGACCCATCTTACTTCTGTGATGGCCGGATGCTATCTAGACATGGACCAGTTGACTACTGTAGGCAATTTTTGGTGACTTGATTGGAAGCTAGCCGTGGAGCCAGAATTCTCCTAGTCTCAGTGTGTTGAACCAGTTACTGCTCTCCGTTTGATTGTGAAATTCCTTGTCGAGATTTATTGGATCTGCACCTCTCCAGGCTTCACTCATCGTGTACATGAGACATGCAGTGTTACTCCTCTGGGCGATTGAAACGTCATATTCACAGCACATGGCTCTTTTTATTGCAAAGCCTCCCTTCCCTTCTTTCCCACCGAGACGTGCAAAGTGCCAACAGACTTAAAAAAAAATCAAGCAGTTAAAAAGAAAAAGCAGGAAACAAAATAAATATTTATCATAGATATTATTGTCAAAGTGTACATAATGTTTAAAATCTAATATACTGAGATCCCATGGTGACAACTTCAGAAATCTTGAAGTGATGATTGAATGGCATGAGTTTATCAAAATGTTTGAACAGCAGCTTTACGTTGTTTTATCGAAACTGGTTGTAACACAAGAGTCAGATATTAATCAGAGTTTAGATATTGCTGTCAGAACTGCATTTCCTCTTTTTTTGTTACGTTTTAGCTCTAGTACCACTGAAATGTTAAGACCTCATATTTTGACTGTATAAAAACACAGATGATGTGTATAGTTTTTTTGGGGGGGATTTATTCTGGTTTAAGGTTTACTGCTTTTAGTGCGTACTGAAAAATAATAAGACGTGGATTGGGCTTTGAATTTGCCATAGCAGCTGCCTTGATCTACCCCTTTAAGAGAGGAAGATTTGAAAGTATTCAATAGTGGTTGGTTGTGGGAATAAGCAAGCTGGTTTGCAAATGGGTGGTGAAGTTTGTTTAATTGCCAAATGAAGAGGGCCATAATTCCCTTTTTGCTAACCAGGATACTATTGTTTTCCAGCTTCCAGCTTTGAATTGATACTGGCTTCTAGCTTGTTCCTCTAGCGTGTGCGGAGGGCACTGTTGAATGTTGAGAAGGATATGGACTATTTTGAATTGATCTTATTGGTTGGATGCTACAGGCTACCGCAATGCACCTCGTGTACTTCTCTTGCTCTTCCAGGAAGTTGCTTTGGCCAGTGTTAGACAACCAACAAGACGCTAAGATCCATTGCAGCCAGATTGACAACAAATAGCAAACTTTTTTAAAAAAAAGTATTATTAATGTTACTTATAATGGAAAACTACCATTGTAAATGGTTACAAACAGGTTGTTGTACTTTCCCGAGAACTAAATTACGCTTTAGGATTTATCATGGTGAAATAGGTTGCATGTGAAGACATGCTATGCTCGTCTGTATATCAATTTACAGATAGGTGCACAAGGGTCAATGTAGTAGACCCTTATGTGTGTTAGCACCAACCTCACTGAAACACTGCTTAAATTGTTTCATGCATCTTCAAACAAGGCTCAGAGATTACATGGTAAACTAGTTATTAATTTTGTATGTTAAACAGTACCCATCTGTCATTGCTTTCAAGTCCCTTGCTTGCATTCTCTAAAGGGTGAATTTCCATCCAAAAGTAATTTACATCAGAAGTATGTAGATGAAGGTTTAAATTATAGGAAGCTCTCTATAAGGCTGTCTTTGTTCATGCTCTATAGATTCCTCAATTGGTGAAGGAACATTGAACCAAGTACAATGTCTGTGAGTGTAAGAGTGAATGGTGTATTATAGATAAGGAGAGGGAGTGGAGTGGACTACTGGGGGAGGAATTGACAATGCACCTGAATGATGCTGAGGAGTATAGTTTGTGAGTGGCATGTTATTACAGAGCAGAATATAATATTAATAATACAAAAATAGTCCTTGCATTTGGTCAGGAGGATGTCTCAAAAGTGCTTCATGGGATACACAGTAAAGTGAAGTGACTGAGTATTTTGTGGGCGAACATATGACTACAGTATAAATTTACATTTATACAGCGCATTTCACGTCTGGAAGTTTTTGATGGGAATTCACCTTTCAGTCCAGGCAAGGGACATGCAGGAGGGTTCTGCTTAATGTGGAGAATTGGTTTACGAATGTAAGATCGAAAAATCGTAGGACAAGAAACAACCATTCAAACAGTTCCTCCCCAAAGTGTTTACAGTCCACACCATGAAGGACTGAACCTAGCCCACTATCTCCTGATCGCTTCTGCAAAAGGTCTTCCTGCCTCCCACAGTAACGGCAGCAATCCTATCTGTCCCAACACACTGCAGCCTGCAGCCAGTGTTTGTTCACTTTCCTGCCATAATTTTAGAGGGTCTGTGGCTCATGGCGTCATAAACAATCCATGTTACATTAGGAATTGCAGTGCACACACTTGTGTGTTGCAGAGCTGAGGTGTGTAAGCAGTGGGCTACAGAACGGTAGAGACTGACCCCTATGCTGTCTGGCTCCCCTTTCATACATTCGCAGCTGTATAACGGAAGATTGAACAGAAATGGCATTAAGTGTAAATATTAATCTGTATAAAACAAAGTCATTTCTTTTTTGTCAGGGTCTCCTCTTCTGGACAGAGGCATCCTCTGGTCAATCCAGATTCTCACAGGAACCATTCGGTTTGTTCATCAGTGTCTGCTGAGCAGTCGTCGTCCCCCAACCCCCACCCCACAAATTAGTGTTTAACACCGAGTCCCTGTGAGGTTTACCAATAGTTCTATATTTATTGTATATATTGCAAGAATTACAGAGCAGAACCCAAAAACAGAGTGCCCATCCGAAGGAGTTCCAGGTGCTAGCCATTGAGGAATCTCCACTCGAGCCACACCCCTGTCCTCCCACTGCAGAAAGCCTCTAAAAGAGTAAATATTATGTTATGTAAAGTTAGGTTTGTAAATACTGAATTTTGTGGACCATCAACCTATAGGGAGCACACCAAGTGCAAGGGCGCCCAGTGCTCTCTGTGGCTGGCAAGGGCAGAGTCTTTGTTTGGGGGGGTGTGGGTGGCACTGTGTGGGGGGGGGGGCAGGGCCCTGTGCTGGAGGGTAACAGGATGGGGCTTGTGCTGGCAGGGCGGGATCTGTGCTGGCAGGGGATGTGGTCTGTGCTGGCAGGGCGGTGCCTTTGCTGGGGGTGGCAAGGTGTGTGTGCACCGTAATTCTCCATGCCTCTGGTGTAAGGCCTGGGTTTAAGAGTTTGGATTGGGTTAAACTCGGATTCAGGGACGTATCACAGAACTGGAAATGAGGGACAATCCGAACCCTCGTTTGTGCTCGTCAGGGCAGACGCCAAACAGTCACAGTGAGGAAGGAGTAGATGCCCTCCATACACCTTGTCATAGACATAGCGTTTCCCTAGTAATCATGGGTTGTAAAATTGATGATAGTCGTCGTCGTCAGGTAGCAGTTTGGTGTCTGGTCTGGCTCCACTAAACACAGTGAAATACACACTGAAAATCGTGCAGTTTTATCAATAGCAGCGAATGATTCTGGGCTTCAAGCTCTTGTGAACAGGATGGTTTAACTCCATTCTCGCAAATTCTGTAATCATTCAAACCCTTTGAAATAGCAGCCTTTAAATCAGGGATCTGTTGGTCTACACATTACCTGTTACAATTATTTTCTAATAATGGATAGAACCACAAGACAATTGCTAAGAATCGTCACCTTTTCATTACTTGCTTATAAATGGGCTACGTTGTGCTATTAGTTGGGAGCGGAGAATGTTTCGGGAGGAGGTGGGGGGCAGGGGGCTGTCGGATTGTGTTGCTGGAGGGTGAGGGAAATGCTAGTTAGCATCTCCTGAATCCACGGACACAGATTGCCTCCACCACCACCCTGGCTTATCATCTATTCCACATATGCATCGCTCTAAGTGTAACATTATTCAGTATGAACTGTCCCCTCTTTTGAATTTGAGTTGGTGGCTCCTTGTTCTGCATTTGTTAGATGTATTACAGCAGAGCCGCATTATAACGCACGTTGCAATCGGTGCGTGGATCCTGGTATTTACTTGTGAAAACGTCTTAAAAATTCGGCTTTGCTGACTTCCAGACTGCCGTCAACGTCACTTCCACGTGAAGTGCGGTTGCCGCGTTGCCTGGAAATCGACCGTTTTGGCTTCCTTCGTGCTGGCTAAGCACCCTGCGCTACAAAACGGCCTGCTTCCGGGTCAGCGGGTCGCTGTCGTCATTGTTTACGCACAGGAAGTGACCGCCGTGGCCTGGCCGTTGACCGTCTTTTAGCGTGGGGAGCCGCTGGCGGGCGGGGAAATTCTGCGCACTTGTGCGAGGGCTGACCAGCGATCACGGCCTGTTAGAGAGCATTAGTGTGGGGGTTTTATGAATCCCAACCACCGCGTTATAATGGAACTCTGCTGTACTGTGGTTCAGGTTATCTGTAGCATTTAGGATCTTGAACAGTTCGATCAGATCTACCCTGAGCCTCTCCTCTTTTGTACGATCATTCCCAACTCCTCTCATAAAACCAGCAGTCTTAATTCCCTCCGTTAATCCAGTTGCCCCTTCAGTGATCACAATTGTACCCTTCACTCCCGGTGGGTTTGGACCAGTGCCCTGTGCAAATTGCCATCAGTATTGTTCTCTGGTGGTTTCAGCGATCTGTCCACCCACACCCTCCTGAAACCTCTCCTGTGCGTTGTCCTGTAGATTAATACATTTAGTTTGTAGTCTTGCTAATTCTTCTTTTTGTTCCCCAAAGACACATGCAAGTGGTGTGGCAGCTGCTGTATTGCTGGTTTTGTGGCATTGCTATTTATTGTTGAGTTCCTGTGTGAGCTGGCAGGTGCTTGCAGCACCCTGTGGTACATTCTGAGCCCTTCCCGGTCGGTCTGTCGCCACACAATGACTAGTTTTTTTTTCATTAGCTCCGCGGGTATATATATTTTTTGAAATAATTTTTTTTTGCACCAGTTTTCAGGGATGTGAAAGAAGCTGCTTTGCATTAATGAGGCTGAATCAGGTTAATTCCTGTACTTTTTACTGCTGAAGAAATGCTTTATTGATGTATCAGAGTCGCAGCATCTCTGGCTCTGGGGTACAGGGCACGACAAGGTATTTAAACTATCCTCTAGGAATAAGCTCATAATTTCATCAATCCAGTGCAGTTGGGAGGGGAAGTGAGGATATGGGTATTATTGACTATTCCTTGTATTAGGAAATCCTTTTGTCCCATCTTTACATGGATCAATGTAACATGACAAAATATACAGTCAATTCACTTTACAGTATATTCTGTGAAGCGCTTTTGAGACAACTCGGAAGACGTGATAAGGCGCTATATCAAATGCAAGGATTATTATTATAATAAAGTATTGGGGGCCAGTCTTGCTAACTATCCTTGTCTTGCTCCCCAGCCATGCTTCTTGTGCTGATGAGACCCCAATATATTGCCCACGTTCGCCTAGGCCAGAGATGCTGCCTCTTCAAAGTCTGTACAGTGCTTGAACTTAAAAAAAAAAGGAAAAAAAAGTTTTTTAAGCTTTTTGTTTTTTTTTGACTGAATCTTGTTAGTGTATCAAACTGATGTATATATTCTGAAGAAATGAGCATCCTTATATACAGAATGTCGGCCCTTATTCCCTCTCCCCCTCCCCAACTCTTTTTTCTTTCCCTCTTTTTGTCTCTACTCTGTAATCTTTGCGAAAGGTTTCTATTGTGTAAGGTGTATATTTTTGATGTTATGAACTGGACTGAAGCTCTCAATGTAAAAGTCGGGACTGGCGGGAGGGGAGGAAGGGGAAAAGACATCTTTTGTTATTTATTGTGAAACTGTCCTTTCAACATCAATCTGACATTCCAAACCGAGCTCTCGACTGTATCATTGCTGTGTTTCGTGGTCATATTTCTGATCCTCTGCCTGTAACAGCGTTCGGCACACATGGGGATGTTTTGGGGTTGGTGGGGTAGCAGGGGGAAGAGAAAGTGTTGCAGCTCAGTATGGAGTCTGGCCCCATGCGATTAAAATTAAAAAAAGTACTGTGAAACTTGCGCTTTATCTATGGTCCAAAGCATCATAGCAGTGACTGACTCTTCCTCCAGCTGCTCCACTGTCCCATCTGCCAGTTCTTGTTGCCACATTACCGTAGGGTAGGTGGCCCTTGGTGTGGGGTTAGAATGCCGGTCCTTCTTGGTTTAGGGCTCCACGTGAGAGAGCTGGGACAGATTACTCCCGGCATTCCATCTTTGTGGAAGATATCAATGGAGCTGAACTGGCAATGGAATGTCGGAATCGAACCAGCCCTCTGTGGCGGTCTCGGTGGTCTGGTTCCTGACCCAGGCGGGTCCGCAGTACTCCAGGGCACTGCTGATGACAGCACAGCCCGTCACTGGAGGCAGGGAATCATCCCACTCGGCTCCTATTAACACTGCAAGACAAAGCCCTAACAGGTAGGGTGTTCCTCACTGGATAAGCAGCAGGAAAGCTTGCCAGACAATAAAAGATATCAATTGTCCATGGAAAGTGGTTCCTTGTATCCAGTACAGGCTTAGACTTTGTTGCTCGCTAGTCCCTAGCGAGCCTGACAGCATTTGCCTGTGAGTCAGCGTGGCCAGCATGGAATGTGAACGATGCATTCAAATCGACCCATGTTAGGTTATGCAGTGCCTTATATATGAAAGAAACATCCCAAAGCGCTTTACAGAATGACATTCATTAGAAAAGAATGTTATGGAGGCAAACGAGGCACCTAATTTGTGCACAGTGTAGCACAACAATGTCCTACAAACATGAGTGAGAAGAAGAATCTGATGTTGGGGGTGAATTTGAAAGGGAAAGAATTTTAGCCAGGACATGTTTATATTTACATTGAAATTTACAGGCACAATAACAGTACATTTAAAAATTGGGAGAAACAGAAAACAATTTACACTTATATACCGCCTTTCATGTCTGGAGAACGTCTCAAAGTGTTTCACACAGGCAAAGAGAAAAGAGTAAAGGTGTGGTGGGGGAATGGAAGAAATAAAGATTAAATGGCAGGATGTCTGACATCTGCTTCGTTCCACTCCTGAACTGTCGTTCCTCCCTCTGGAACAATCCAGGGATTTCACCCTTCCGCCTGGTGTGTCCTAGTGATTTGTGCAGTGATGCTTTCTGGAACATCCCACTCCAGGAGACAAGGTTACACAAGAGTCTCAGTAAAGATTGTACATACACTGTTCATTCCAAGGTCACACATGGAGAGTGACATTGCATCACTGTGCCCAGTGCGCGCACACAGTCTCACATCACAGCGATCTCTCAACCCTGTGCGCACAAGGAATCTTGCATCACATCACCGTGCCCTCCTGCCTGTTACTGAATTAACAAAACTACATTCACGTGGATAGAGCAGGGTCAAAAAGATAAACAACTTCCAGGGATGTAGCGCGAGTTACTGATTAAAGCGGGTCACCTCATACCAACAGAACTCTTGGCATCTCACATCTGTTTTTCCCATTAGTTCTATCGCTTGCTGTTCATGGATTGGAGAGCAGAAAACGTGGCAGAGCTCAGGCCTCTTCCAATGGCACCTCTTCTGATGGAACGCCCAAATCTCCCACCCCAATCACTGAGGGCTTCCAACCTGAGTGAAGGTCGAACGTATGCGGGTGGTGGTACTGTCAATACCTACAACAGGCAGAGTCTGACACGAGGGAAATGATCAGGCATCCATCACGCTGCTGATCATGAGAGGTATGGAACAGATCACTAGGGAAGGCTTGTCCTAGCTGGACAAGCAGCGGGAAAGCTTGATAGACAGCGATATCAATAGCAAGCTATGCGGTTTTAGCTGGTTAGACTCCAGCAGCACACACCGGGGTCCTAAGTCTTGGCAATCTATGCCTAATACTTTCCCGAATTAGGTAAGTAAGATACATCCCTCCAGGGAGAGAGAGAGAGACAATCTATCTGGAATTTCCAGTTGTAGGTGGGATCTATCTCAATCTAGTTTGGAAACTCTTAAGCATGGTGATGGGTTGCATGCGTCAGACACATGGCTGGCCCCCCAAAAAATCAAATATACTGTGAGTAAAGACATTTACCTGGACTTTGTCTCGCAGCCCAGAATCTTTGCTGGCTGGTCGTCCTGGTGTAAAGCTGTGAGGGCAGTCAAAACCTTAGTCAAGTTTCCTCACTCCCTTGAAACAATAATTTGGTCACTCAATCCACGACTGTGTTTGGGACACTGCTGTGCGCAATTGGCTGCTGCATTTTACCCACAAAAATATACACAGTCGAAGACTCCCATAAAAAGGGGAGTTTCGCCCACAAAATACACAAGTTGATTCACTTGCCAGTAGATTCTGTGAAGCCCTTCGAGACGTCTCTAAGACACGAAGAGGCGCTGCGTCCAATGCAAGGATTAGTATTATTGATTATAATAATACTAATTTGCTTTGAGATGTCAAATAATAATTATAATCAATAAAAATAATACTATAACTACAGTATATAATAATACTAGCGCTTTGAGATGTCTCGATGATAATAATAATAATCCCTGCGTTTGATATAGGGCTTTATCACGTCTTCTCGACGTCTCAAAGCGCTTCACAGAATAGACTGTAAAGTGAACCGACTGTATATTTGTGGGCGAAACGCGGCAGCCAATTGCGCACAGCGGCGTCCCCACAGACAGGCGCGGATTGAAGTGACCAAATGGTTACCGTTTTTTTTTCTGGAGGGATTATCATCAGGCGCGTGGAGTGAGGAAACTCGCTTGCGAGGCGAGCGAGCGCTCTCACCGCCGAGCTGCGGGACTCCGCTGACGACGTGAATGAGGGCCTACGTACCCCCTACGGGGTGGGGGGGGGGGAAATAATAATAACAATAACAACGATCGGTCACTTCCATCCACCGCTGTGTGTGGGGACTCTGCCGCGTTTCGCCCTCAAAGTGTACGGTCCATTCACTCGACGGCGTATCCCGCGAAGCGCTTCGAGACGTCTCGGAGACGTGGTTAAGGCGCTGTGTCAAATGCCGGGATTTTTATTATTATGATTATTATTATGATTATTGACTTCCTCATTCGGGGAATTGTATCCACTGGTGACGGCGACAATGTATCTCTTTCGGTGACAGTGTATCCGATGATGATGATGATGATGACGACGACGATGACGCAAAGGCCGGAGCCGCCAATCAGCGGCCACGTGGGTTTTCACGCCCAATTGGGCGGGTTTCCGTCCTGGGCCTGAAAACAGCGCGGCTTTGGGCGGGCGCCCAATTATTTTGCCCCTAAAAAGACATTTTAAAATTTTTATATATATATATATAGAGAGAGAGAGTGAGTGAGAGATTATAATATATATCGAAGACCCTTTTTTTCTGACACGGTTTCAAAAACACTGACCTGATGCCGCCCCTCGATCTGCTCTCCCCGGGGGGGGGGGGGGGGCATAACATTGGGGCTACTTTTTGGGGCTCGTTGATAACTGGGAACCGCCCCCTCTTGGTGCCCTCCCTCCCCCTCCCCGCCCGGCCCTGCCCTCCCCTCCCTCCCCTCCCTGCCTGCCCCTCACTGCCCTCCCTCCCTGCCCCTCCCTCCCCGCCTGGCCCTGCCCCTCACTGCCCTCCCTCCCTGCCTGGCCCCTGCCCTCCCTCCCCTCCCTGCCCGGCCCTGCCCTCCCTGCCCCTCCCTCCCTCCCTGCCTGGCCCTCCCCTCCCTGCCCTCACTGCCCTCCCTGCCCGGCCCCGCCCTCCCCTCCCTGCCTGGCCCTCCCCTCCCTCCCCTCCCTCCCTGCCCTCCCCTCCCCTCCCGGCCCCGGGACAGGCGATGGCCTGGCGGCGGGGACACGGGATGGGGCGGGACCTGACTCTGTCTCGGAAGCTCTCGTACTTCAACGGTCGGTTCCGGAGGCTGTGCCGCCGACTGCCCGACTGCCCGGAGCGGCGGAGCCAAGCGCTGGAGCCGCTGATCCGCTGCTGCGGTGCGGCCGAGCGGCCCCCGGGGCCGGACAGGGGGCGCCGGGGCTGGAGCCGCGGGGCCTGGGCACTGACCGCGGCCCTCACCGCCCTCTGCTCACTGCTGCTCGGCCTCTCGCACTGTCCGCTCCTCCGCTTCTGCGGCCGCGCTCTCCTCATCCAGGTACTGCCCCGCGGGGCCCACAGCACCACCACAGCACCACAACAACAACAACAACAGCACCACCACCACCACAACAACACCACCACCACAACAACAACAACAGCACCACCACCACCACCACAACAACAACAACAACACCACCACAACAACAACAACAACAACAACAACAACATGGCCGCCCGCACCACCACAACAACAACAACAACAACAACAACAGCACCACCACCACAACAACAACAACAACAACAACACAGCACCACCACCACAACAACAACACAACACAACAACAACAGCACCACCACCACAACAACAACAACAACACAATAACACAACAACAACAACACCACAACAACACCACCACCACAACAACAACAACAACAACACAGCACCACCACAACAACAACAACAACAACAACACCACCACAACAACAACACCACAACAACAACAACAACAACAACAGCACCACAACAACAACAACAACACCACCACAACAGCACCACCACCACCACCACCACAACAACAACAACAGCGACAACAACACCACCACCACAACAACAACAACAACAACACCACAACAACAGCGACAACACCACCACCACAACAACAACAACAACAACACAGCACCACCACCACCACAACAACAACAACAACAACAACACCACCACAACAACAACAACAACAGCACAACAACACAGCACCACCACAACAACAACAACAACAACACCACCACAACAACAACAACAACAACAACAGCACCACCACCACCACCACAACAACAACAACAGCGACAACAACACCACCACCACAACAACAACAACACCACAACAACAACACCCACAACAACAACAACAACAGCACAACAACACAGCACCACCACCACCACAACAACAACACCACCACAACAACAACAACAGTAACACAACAACAACAACACCACCACCACAACAACAACAACAACAGTAACACAACAATAACAAAAACAACAACACAACAACAACAACAACAATAATAATAATAATAATAATCCTTGCATTTGATATAGCGCTTTTCACGTCGGGAGGACGTCCCAAAGCGCTTCACAGACACACTGTAAAGTGAATTGACTGTATATTTGTGGGCGAATGCGGCAGCCAATTGCGCACAGCAATGTCCCACAAACAGTCATGGATTGAAAATGACCAATTTATTATTGTTTTGTTTTTTTGGAGGGATTATTATTAGGTGTGTGGAGTAAGGAAACTTGCCCAAGGTTTCGCCCTCTGCCTGGAATTGAACTCAGGTCTCTCACTTGCAAAGCGAGTGCTCTAACTACTGAGCTACAGGACTCCACGACAATAACAATAACAGTAACACAATAACAACAACACAACAACAACAACAACACAACAACAACAACAACACCACAACAACAACAACAACACCACAACAACAATAACAACAACAACACCACCACAACAACAACAACAACACCACAACAACAATAACAACAACAACAACACAATAACAACAACAACAACACCACAACAACAACAACAACACAACAACAACACAACAATAACAACACAACAACAACAACAATAACAGTAACACAACAACAATAATAACAACAACAACAACACAACAACAATAATAACAACACAACAACAGTAACACAATAACAACAACAACAGTAACACAATAACAACAACAGCGACAACAACAACACAACAACAACAGCGACAGTAACACAAGAACAACAACAGCGACACCACAACAGTAACACAATAACAGCAGTAACAGCGACGACAACAACAACAGTAACACAATAACAATAATAATGACAACAACAGCGACAACAACAACAGTAACACAATAACAACAGTAACAATAATAACAATAACAACAACAGCGACAACAACAACAGTAACAACAACAGTAACAGCGACAACAACAGTAACACAATAACAACAATAATAACAACAACAGTAACAGCGACGACAACAATAACACAATAACAACAACAACAGTAACAATAACAACAATAACAACAGCGACAACAACAACACCAATAACAACAACAACAATAATAATCCTTGCAGTTAGGATTATAGCTCCTTTACCGCGTCTCAAAGCGCTTCGCAGAATATACCGTAAAGTGCAGTGACTGTGTGTTCTGCGGGCGGAACGCCGGCAGCAGCCAATTGCGCGCAGCGGCAGTTATTGCGTATAATAATAATCATTATATGATAATCATCATCCTTGCAATTTGATGACCCTGCACCCCCCCCCCCCCACCCCCCCCTTTCCAGCGAGACCCTTCCAGGGCCGTGTAACTCTGGCTCTCTTCTGTGTCCAGGTGCTGCCGTACTGGGACTGGACGCTTTACCACAACATGGACTGTCTGATCGGGAACCCCTATTACTCGCAGGCGGGAGCCGAGTCCATGCAGCCAGTGGACTGCGTGAGAGTGAGTCAGTCAATGGGTGTGTGTGTGTGTGTGTGTGGGGTGGGGTGGGGGGGGGCATAATTGTATACGCGTCGGGGGTGGGACAAATACACCCTCCTGAATGAAAGGGAGCTATCCGTGCGAGTGCCCGTTATTGTTGAGCGACTCAGCGCGTGTCCTGTCGTACGCAGGCGTGCCAAGCCTACCAGGTGGTGGAAAGGCTGCAGAACGCTGACGCAGTCGACGTCCTTCAGAATTACCTGCGACAGAACCGGCCGCTGGTGATTGTGGACGGGATGACGGGCTGGGCAGCGCGCAGCGACTTCAGTGTGGAGAGCCTAACGCAGGTCAGTGGCCTCTCCCCCTCGCCGACAGAGAACAGGGCTGTAGGAGGTGGGGCACAGCCTGTTACGTGTAGGTGAGTTTGGAGGGTTTAGTTGGTGAGTTAGTGGTTTGGTCATCATCATCATTAACCCTCGTCACTGCAAAACCGCAGCCAGGATTTGGTGTTGTCACTTACCTCAAACAGTTCCTCGGGGACACTGCACCGGGTGTTGTTCTAGGTTCCCCCACATTCACATCCCAGGTTGTTTCTGAGCAGTAAGTAGCAACCCGGTTGTTTGTTGATTGGAGGGACACTTTCCAGGGGGTAATGATGCTCTTTTTAAAAAAAATTGACCGCTCAATCCACGACTGTTTGTGGGACACTGCTGTGCGCGATTGGCTGCTGCGTTTCGCCCACAAGAAACAACTTTTTACAGTATATTCTGTGAAGCGCTTTGAGACGTCTGGAAGATGCGATAAGGCGCTATATCACTATTATTCTCCCTTCTTGGACGAGGCACCAGAGGATAGTTTTACCTTAGACACTAAGTAGTTTTACTGTTAGATGGCGATGCTATTGATCCCTACTCCCAGCATCCAGAGAGGGGTAAGTGGAGTCAGGGGTGTTGGTATAATCAGCGCCACATCAGGTTATTGAGCCCTCAGTGGCTGCTCTGTGTTTTGCAGCTGTACAGTGAGCACCTGGTGCTGCAGAGCTCCACTGTGTGCAGTTACTGGGCCTCGGAGAACTCCCCCGAGCACAGCCCTGCCTCCTTCCTGCAACACGTCCACCGGCAGACCCTCACCCAATGGACGCTTCAGTGGTAAGATATGGACAACTGATAACTTGAATGAAAGAGTTCATCTGTCAGCTTGGTTCAGTTGGTAGCAATTTCGCCCACAAAATACGCAGTCAATTCATTTTACAGTATATCCTGTGAAGCGCTGTGAGACGTCTCAAAGACATCATAAGGCGCTATATCAAATCGAAGGATTATTAATATTCTCCCTTCTTGGACAAAGCATCAGAAGGTGCCTGGCGGGGAGGGGTGGGGGGCTGGAGAGGGTGCAGGCAGATGATAGCTGTTCTCACACCAAGAGACCATCCTTTATAGTCTATGTCTCTTCCCCTGGCTTGCTCCACACCCCACCACCCACACACATTGCCTGATTAGTAAGCATGTTTGACGGGATTTGTGTTGGTGACTTGTGGTCGCGGTCGGAGAACGTTGGGAGTTCGGGATCCTCGGTTGGGTCGGGGGTTATGGGGGGGGAACTAGGCTGCGTTTGACCAGCTTGTCTCTGCCACAGGAAGAACTGTAACAAAGCGGCTGCCAAGGTGATCCGCACCTTTTACCAACGACCATATTTCCTGCCTCCCATGGTGGAGCTGGCCGAGTCTAACTGGCTGCTGATGGCTTCGCGGGCAGAGGGCAGTGGGATGGAAGGCGGGTTTGTGAAGGTGAGGACACGCTGCAGGTTTGATTGTCGGTCGTTGCATGTTTTATCCCTTTTGTGACTGGAAGAGCAGCTCTGGGATCCAATTGCAAAATGGAACAACAAAGATTCATTGCCCTCTCTCGGATCTCTTCCTACCTTCTCCCTGGTTGCTCGGCAGTGTGGAGAGTGGCAGAGTGTTGTTGATGGTGACTTGTGTTTTGTGCAGGTTGATGATCATGACGGAGACTTGCTGCTGTGGATCGCTCAGGTCCAGGGGGTCTTTGAGGTTCAGCTCTTGCCCAGGGACGCCTGCGCAGACACCTGTGCCCATCACGCCTTACAGCTCTCACCTGGAGAGACAGGTACATAGAGTGTGAAAGGTGGCTATCACCTGGTGTAAGAGAGGAGCAGGAGAGAGGTACAGGGGCTATTCTTATTGATGCTATTGTAACTGTGGACCATCAAGGCAGACAGACACTGATGCACATGGAGGCAGACTTATGTCACTAATTAGTTTATTCACATTGGGAGGTGGAGGGAACCTTGGCAGTCCTGCACACACTATATTCTGCAGACAACTGGTCCCGGTTGGTGTCTTTGGAAACACTCCTCAAAGGCTCTCGTTCCCCCCACTCATTTGATATAGCGCCTTATCACGTTCTTCGAAACGTCTCAAAGCGCTTCAGGGAATATACTGTAAGGTAAATTGACTGTATATTTTGTGGGCGAAATGCGGCAGCCAATTGCGCACAGCGACGTCCCACAAACAGTCGTGGATTGAAGTGACCAATTTATTATTTTTCATTACGATGGGAAGTGTTGGCAGCGTATTTGTCAGGGGTGGGTTGGGTAGCGGAGGTGTTTTTGTAAATGAACACGGTTAGAATTGCTCACCTGCTGCTTATCTTGTACAGTCTCCGTGCCTCTTCAGATGTGGGAGGTTCAGTATCGACCGATTACCTCCACTGCCATTGGACTCGCTGCAACCGGTAACTGGCTCCAGGACCCCAGCTAAGTGGCCGGGTCAGAGCGGGACCTGTGTTGGGAAGGAACCAGTGTGGTGCTGTTCATGGTTGAACCGCTGTCTCTGTTTGGTGGAAGCTTTCAGAATACAGCAGGGATGGATAGAGTGGATTGGGGGTTACGTTCAGAGGATGTGTGGGTTGCCCGGAGGTGGATGGGTTTGGACACCTGTCTGATGGACACTGCCCGAGGCCGAGGCGAATACAGCAGCTGCCGCAAACTGTCACCATTTGACACTGGATCAGCTCGCTGTAACTTCCGATCAGAATAAAGTGGTTGCAGCCGATTGGTGAAAATTCATCCGCAAATTGCTACATGGATGACGGATGTCAACGCGTGTTGCGGGGCCCTGGCTCATGGGAGGAGGAGCTGGACACTGGCGGGTGGGGTGGGTGAGGGCATTTATCTTTTAACGTATATGAGAAGAACAGTATGTAATAGCGTCTCTATCAGTGTCCTTCTCTCACTTTGGATATTCCACGGTTGCAGAGCTTCCATTACTCCAGTCACTTCCTCTCTCTTGTCTTGTGGACCGTGCTCTCGGCCGCCTGTCGCCTCCCTGGCCCTCGGCTCGGGTGCAAACCCTGGACTGTCCAGGGCCTTGGCACGACCTCCCGACGCGAACGATGCTGTATAAATGTAAATTTATATTGTGTTGCTCGCTCGCTGTGCTGTCCCCCCTATTGCTGCGGGATGTCTGTAGCCGCAAAACTTCATTTCGAACACAAGGCGGCAGCAGTTCCACTGTAATTGAATCGATCCAGAATTATCCAGTCAAAGAAACTGAGGGATTTGGTCCTGTTTCACCATAAACAGAGAGACTTCATTGTGTTACAGTCACTCCATTGCGCGCTGGGGCTCTCGGTAGAGATCCTGCTGAATTGGCCTGAAATCTGTGACGGGGCACAAGGTTGCGATGCTATTTTCTAACAGTTCCCCCAAATAAAATTGGTTATTCACTTCGTGGCTGTGGTACGTTGCTGGGCTCAAACGGGCTGCCGCGTTTGCCCACAGGTTCATTGCACTTCACCGTACATTCTGTGAAGCTCTTTGAGTCGTCGTTCTGATGTGAAAGGCTGTAACAAATGCGAGGATTATTATCAAAGAATTCAATGAGGTCGGTCAAGCGTGAACTTCCTTTCACTAACCACCCTGGACGCTTTTAATTATACTCTCTTTTTAGAGATGCTTAAGTTACTTCAACATTTTTTTACAGACTCCCAATTCCTTCCCAACCACAGACGTAAAGATAACAGGTCTGTGTGCGGTTTCCCGGATTAGCTCTAACCCTCTTTTAAAAATAGGTGTTACATTCACCAATGCTTCCAATTTTCTACGGGGTCCTTAAATATCTCCACGAGAGTCTCCCCTACCTCCTCGGATTCTTTTAAGGACCCTTGGGTGCAGTCCGTCCGGACCTGCTGCCGTCAAGCGCTCCGGGGCGCTAACCCTACGTGAGGAGCCCGGTATAAATGCAAGTTGTTGTCGCTCAGCGGAAGGTCAGCGTTGGCTGGAGCCCACCCGCCCTGCAGCTCAGCCGCTTCCCGTGTCGGCCGCAAATCCAGCTCCCCCCGTGGTCTTGGGCTCGGCAAATAATCCGGTCCCAATCCCTGCCCTCGACGCAGAGGACTCCGTCGTGGCTTCCGGACGTCTCCAAGTGCTTCCCGGAAATCCGCCCTCCAGGTGAAGTGACTGTGTAGTGTGCGGGCGAAATGGGCTGGAGGAAGGAAGCCTCTCACCACTGCATGGCCCCGGGAGGCACGTGTCCATTTGGAGGCAGGTGGGTGGGTGGGTCGGTAGCCGGCGGGCGGTAGGACCACACGGCCACCTCTCTCTCCCCCCCCCCCCTCCCGCCCCCCCAAAAAAAACCCACGCACACACGAGGTGACGTAAATGCCGGGCGCGTGACGTCACGGCGCCGCGAGCCGCCCGCAGTTTGAATGCCCCACGCGCAGCGGCGGTTGCTGGGTGCGCGCGCAGCGGAGGGCAGACCGGCGGGAGGAGCGGCTGCTGCGATGTGAGGTAGGAAGCGCTTCACACCGACCGACCCACCGACCCACCGGCAGCGCGACTGAGGGACGGGTCCCCGACGCTGGGGCAGGGGGTGGGGTGTCTCCCCTCTGGGGCAGGGGGTGTCTCCCCTCTGGGGCAGGGGTGGGTGTCTCCCCTCTGGGGCAGGGGTGGGGTGTCTCCCCTCTGGGGCAGGGGGTGTCTCCCCTCTGGGGCAGGGGGTGGGGTGTCTCCCCTCTGGGGCAGGGGGTGGGGTGTCTCCCCTCTGGGGCAGGGGGTGGGGTGTCTCCCCTCTGGGGCAGGGGGTGGGGTTCCTCTGGGGCAGGGGGTCTCTCCCCTCTGGGGCAGGGGGGGGGGGGGGTGTCTCCCCTCTGGGGCAGGGGGTGGGGTGTCTCCCCTCTGGGGCAGGGGGTGGGGTGTCTTCCCCTCTGGGGCAGGGGGTGTCTCCCCTCTGGGGCAGGGGGTGTCTCCCCTCTGGGGCAGGGGGTGTCTCCCCTCTGGGGCAGGGGGGGTCTTCCTCTCTGGGGCAGGGGGTCTCTTCCCCTCTGGGCAGGGGGTGTCTTCCCTTCTGGGGCAGGGGGTCGTTTCCCTCTGGGGCAGGGGGTTGTTCCCCTCTGGGGCAGGGGGTGTCTTCCCCTCTGGGGCAGGGGGTGTCTTCCCCTCTGGGGCAGGGGGTGTCTTCCCCTCTGGGGCAGGGGGTGTCTTCCCCTCTGGGGCAGGGGGTGTCTCCCCTCTGGGGCAGGGGGTGTCTCCCCTCTGGGGCAGGGGGTTCTGGGGCAGGGGGTGTCTTCCCTCTGGGCAGGGGGTGTCTTCCCCTCTGGGGCAGGGGGTGTCTCCCCTCTGGGGCAGGGGGTGTCTCCCCTCTGGGGCAGGGGGTTAGGGCTGGAGCAAGGTGTGACCATATTTTTTTGAAAGGATAATTATCCGCGGAAAAGTGATCCACCAATCGACTAACAACCGGGTTCCTATTTACTGCTCAGTAACCAGAGGCGTGTGAAACGCGCCCAACGTTTTGACCTCTCTGTGGATCGAGCCCAAGTCTTCTCGCTTGCGAGGCGAGTGCTCTGACTACGAAGCTATTGGACTCCACCGGCATAACTCATACTTTGCATAAATCGTATTAAGTGTACAGTCCCAACTGATATGATTTGTGTGCGGTTTACAGTATGCGATTTATATAGATCAGACCTGTGCAAGATTAACTGTCTATTGTAATTAGCTATTTTGGTTTGGTGCCTTAAACTTGATGCATGGTTTCCAGGGCCAGAGACCTGGCAGACTTTTATTTTAAAAACAATTCTATCAAAGCAATTTTATCGCAACATAAATGCAATGACTTGCAAGCTTAAAAAAATACTCGTTTCCAATTTTAAAAATAACGTTTTGGATAGCTCACCTCTTGGACCTCACTCGTGCAGGACACTTGAGGGTTACAAGGTGCATCTAGTCGGCAGTTTGTGTGAAGCCTCAACTATCTATCTCACATCTGTTCCATGACCTGCTCTGCCCTCCCCCACCTCTGCAACATCGTCCGGCTCTGTCACTGTCTCATTCCGCGGGCCGCTGAAACCCTCATACATGCTTTCATTACATCGAGGCTTGACTGTGCCATAGACTGCAGATCATCCAGATCTCTGCAGCCTATGTCTTCTCCCGCACCAGGCTCCGTGACCCTATGACCCCCATCCTCGCCCGACTCCACGGGCTTCCCATTACACAGAGAATACAGGTTAAAATCCTGGTCCTCACCTTCAAAGCTCTCCATGGTCTTGCTTCCTCCCTACCTCTGCGACCTCCTAACCCCCTGCTCGCTCCCTCCACTCAAAGGGCTCCAGCCTGCTTCACGTCCCTTGCCTCGCTCTCCCCACTATTGGCGGGTGGGCCTTCTGCCACTCTGCCCCCACTCTCTGGAACTCCATCCCGCAGTCCCTCCGCCTTGCCTCCTTCCTTGCCTCCTTCAAGACCCATCTCAAGACCCTCCTCTTCGACCATGCTTTCGATCTCCCTGCTCCCCCCCCCCCGCCCTACACCCTCCCCGATCCCGACCCCCAGCTCGAGTCCGAAACTCTGTCTGTCCAGCGCCCTGGACGTCCTCCCGACGTGAAAGGCGCTATACAAATGTAATTTTGTTGTTGTTGTGCTGGATTACAGGCTCAGTCATATACTGAATTTCTGTTGCTCTTACGTTCACTAATTGTATAAAAATGCAATCACTTTTAAAATATTGGCCAACAATGATTGCATAATTGCATATACAGAACATTGAGGTGGTTTTATTCATCAATATTGCATAGAAATCCTTCTTCAAATGACCATTTGTCAATACATTTTAAGATTTTTATGAAGATTTGAAGTGAGCACTTTCTCAGACTATTACCGCAATTAGGAGTCCTGTAGCTCAGTGGTTAGAGCACTCACCTCGCAAGCGAGAGACCTGGGTTTGATTCCCAGCAGGGCGAAACCACGGGCAAGTTTCCTTACTCCACACACCTAATAATAATCTCTAAAGAAAAAAACCCCAACAATAACATCAGTCACTTCAAACCACGACTGTTTGTGGGGACACTTTTGTGCGCAATTGGCCTCCGCGTTTCGCCCACAAATATACAGTCAATTCACTTTACAGTCTATTCTGTGAAGTGCTTTGAGAAGATTCGAAGCCGTGAAAAGCGCGATATCAAATGCAGGGATTATTATTATTAGAATACTCTATTTTTCTTTAATTGATTCTCATGTTCTGGCAATCAGTAGGATTGCCACCAAAGAGACATTTTTGTTTTTCCAATGAGCAAATTGGATAAGTACACTTAGTTTTGGCCGAAACATTCTAGCAATACTGAGTCAATTTCATGGTTGTATAACTACCAGTTTGCTGTCAGTTACTTGGTACCTCTAAACACTTCAATCAAGCCAGGAGAGCTTTCTCTGTGTAGTGGGTCACAGCCTTGGCTATTTCTCATTCATCTTGCAGCTGCACATAGAGCAACATTGGCAGAGACTTTAGAGCAGAGGATGTGACTGCCCTGTCATGCTGACGAAGGGGGAGAGAGAGTTAGTGAGATTTAGTTTTGAATTGGTTCTAATAAAGGATGATTTTTTTTCAATTAAAATGGATGCTACGGCAATTTATAAGTCCTGCCAATGTGACAAAAGCAAAGTTTTTTTAAAAAAAAAACGTAAGAATGATATTGGTCGGATGAGAGGTGGATATGTGAAATAGTCACCCATCAAATGAGCTTCAGGCATAGCTGATTTTCTTCTTCAAAAAGGAGCTGGATAGATATCTCTTTTGAAATGGATTGGAGATTGTTGGCATAAACATAGATTGATATTGAATGCTCTCATTCTGTGCTACATCCTAGTGCTGAAAAGTCGTGATATGCAGATGAAAAGATACTTTGCTTGGAAGGTGTAACGAATTTGTGTAGAATTTTCCATCTCATGCTGACAAATAATAATAATAATCCTTGCATTTGATATAGCGCTTTTCACGTCGGGAGGACGTCCCAAAGTGCTTCAAAGAACACACGGTAAAGTGAATTGACTGTATTTTGTGGGCGAACGCGGCAGCCAATTGTCCACAGCAATGTCCCACAAACAGTCGTAGATTGAAAATGACCAATTTTTTTTATTGTTGTTTTTGGTTTTGGAGGGATTATTATTAGGCTCTGTGTGGAGTAAGGAAACTTGCCCAAGGTTTCGCCCTCTGCCTGGAACTGAACTCAGGTCTCTCGCTTGCAAAGCGAGTGCTCTAACCACTGAGCTACAGGACTCCAATCCATGATGAGTTATACAATGCTGGGATTCAAGGAATAGATGACCTTAAAGATGGCGATTTTTTTTCCATGATTTTGATAGACCAGTGTTCCTTAGGAAGAAAAAGGCAGAAGACCTGGGCAATTGTATATCTTTAAGCAGCTGCTTGCTGAGTGTCCTTGGAAGAGTGCAGATGA